CTCTAAATTCAGGTCCTTTTGCAGGGGGGTCCTTCTTATAAGGGGTCCTATTTTGGGCCCTTAATTTAGAGAATTCTAAACCCTCGACCTTAAACCTAAACCCCTAAACCCCTAAACACCCCTAAACCCTAAACCCTCTGCCCACATGGCATGTCATGGCCAGGGGAAGCCTTGGTGAGGGCTGAAGTCAAGATCCATGAGTCTGCGAAGGAAAAGCTGTGGTAGGCGACCGTCTTCAGACCCACGGGATTGCTGAGGGTTTAGGGTCTAGGGTTTAGGGTTTAGGGTTAGGCTTTCGGGCTATATGGGCAGCCTTGTTGATAAGGATCGTTCAGTGAAGACGGTCGCAAATTCGCTCGCTGCCCCTAGTCTAGGATGCCCAGTAGCGCCCTTATTTACTTTTCTTGAGGGGTTCGGTTCCCTTGTAAACCCCTTAAAGCAAAAAAGGGTACCCTTTTGAATCCTGGGTTAGTAACGTCTGGGTGAAAGCCATTGCGAGCCTAAGCACAGGTGTAGAGCTGTTGCCCTGGCACAGCTGCCATGAGCTGCAGCGACCGGCGCGAAGCATCCAACCCCAGGGCCCTCTTTGAACGGGGAGCCGCATAATTGTTAGCATTGTCCCCTGAACCCTGAACCCTCAACCCTCAACCCTATACCCTATACCCTATACTCTATAAACCCTGAACCTTGAATCGTATATCAACAGAGGTGTCTTACTTGAACACCTTTGTGACATGCAGCTTTTGCGCCGAGTCTGTTCCGCCAGGGTATCGTTACCGTTACAGCCTATCCCAGAGACTCCAATACCCCTTAATTAAGGAATCTTCCTTAAATCATAATAGGGTTCCTTATATGTTTTAAGGAAAATTCCTTAATTAAGGGTATTGGAGTCTCAGCCTGCGCACAGCCATTGTAGGAAGCGACGAGCGCTGCTCGGCTAGACCAGGTACAGACGAGTAAAGCCCCTCAAGGAGTTACTTCGCAGACCCGGTCATCAAAGCCTGAAACCCTAAACTCTAACCCTAAACCCTAAACCCTAAACCCTAAATCGGAAACGCGCCCCTCATATTAGCGGCCTTACTGCGGGGAAATCCGGCTTTTGGGAGTAGCCGCCAGCCTCGTCCTTCCTTCGTGCCACAACTGCTTTATCCTGCTCTGCCCCCATTCAAGTCCTTGTGGGGAGTGCTTCCTATAAGGGGTTCTATTTTGGACCCTCAAAGTACAGAACTCTAAATCCCAAACCCCTAAACCCTAAACCCTCTGCCCACATGGCATGTCATGGCCAGGGGAAGCCTTGGTGAGGGCTGAAGTTAAGATCGAGGAGTCTGCGAAGGAAAAGCGCTAGTAGGTGACCGTCTTCAGAACCGCTGGATGGCTGAGGGTTTAGGGTTTAAGGTTTAGGGTTTAGGGTTTAGGGTTGGGCTTTCGGGCTATATGGGCAGCCTTGTTGAGAAGCATCGTTCAGTGCCTAAGCTTCAAAAGCTCTGAGAGTCTTCTAGTTTTGGATACAATACAACCACAACATCAAAGAAGCATTCTATTAACTCATGATTCTCTACACATCATACTTCTAGAATTGATTGCGTAGTATTATTTTCTTGAAGAGATATTGATATTAAATGATATTTATATCTTTTTTTTAATGGCTTTGTAAAAACTAAGCCAAAAGAACCCGAAAGGTCTCAGGCTCATGCAAAGCAAATATGTATGTATATATATATATACATATATATATTTTTGTATACCAAAGTTGAGTCCAGGCCCGAAAGCGGCAATTCCCTGAGGAGGACCTGAAGCCAACATGCCCCTGAAGGCCAGGAGGCAGCCGAAGAGGTGTATGCCACGATCTTCCAACTGCTGCCTCAGGTTTCTTACGTCTTCTTCGCAGCCTGTGAATGTTCACTACGGAATCCACGAAAGACTTCTGACAGCATAAGGGAGCAAATAAATCTAAAGCTGAGTGAGACGAGACCCTCCTTTGCACTGCTGCTCGCCCTTTTGTAAAGCTGCTCGCCACAAACCCTAAATCCTTATGAAAACGTATGGGTACAGCCCCGTGTACCCCTTTTATGGAAGCTTGTGCAACCTTCCAAGCATCACACGGTTGTTCGCCCCTTTTGAACCCAGTCTTGGATAAGCTTAGCAGACAAAAAAAACCTCTCATATCCCTTTTGCCGAAGTTCTAAACAGCCCGGCCTCCACTCAGTTGGCCGGTCTCGCTCAAGACCCATGCTCTCCTCCAGGGCAATGACCTGCAACGTTCGGATTACGGACCCTGTTAAAACGACCTTTTTTGCATCCAGGCTTGGGTGAGCGTCCTGAAATTCCAAACCCTGAGCCCGAAGGCTGAATTGTGGAAGTTGTCACTTGAAAACCCTTGGAACAAATTCCCAAATTAGACCTCTTAAACCGAAAATATGATGAAACAAAAAATAGCACAAGCGTTCTTAAGGGCTGGCAAGGAGAAGTGGGCTCACAAAAACTAGGGCTTGGGGTTTGGGGGTTGAAGCCTTTCTTGCCACCTGCCTGGCCAATAAGGTTTTGGGGTTTTGAGGTTAGCGGCCTTTAGGGTGCAGCGTTGGTCTAGTTTTTGTCAAACCCTAGTAGCTCCCAACCTCCCTTGACCCTGAAGCCTAGGCCCAAGCACCTGGTGGATCATCACAGCACGCAGCTGGGCGCCTGCTCTGTCGGGAATTTACTGGTGTACCACAGCGAGGGCACAACATGTGAGAAGCCAAAAGAAATGAACCCCATGCTTCATGGGGACTATAGTTTAGGGCCGTTTAGGGTTTAGGGATTAAAGTTTTTGGTAACTGGATCTGTGATCCCACTTTTCAAGTTCGTTGAGTCTCCCCGATGCCGTTCTGACCTGCGCTGGAGATGCCTTGAGACCAAATGAACCCTAAAATCGGGGAACATCTATGCAAGGGCACAACAACCCCCTACATACCAAGGTGGACAAAAATCTAATTCCTTTTTGGGTTCTTTTTCATGGTGCGCAGGGCTTTTAAGCAAGCCAGAGGAGAAGAGGCAGGTGCATCGCAGGCCCAACACTCCCGTCTCTTTTCCCAACATACGTACATCCAGCCACTTGGTGGTTTGTGAAAACAGTGGTCCCTTGTCCTGGGGTTTGAGGGGATTCAGACGACAACGTCGGAGCCTCAACCCCACACCCTTCCCTCGCCTGCCCAAGGACAGATGGGTGGCTTCCACGGCCTGTAAGGGACCACACCACGGAATCACAAGGTCAGGGTTTGGGTTTGAGGGGCGGGCGATGGACCCAAGGTGGATCCGCATAGGATGTTTGATTCTTTGTGGTGCCGTATACCCCCTAATATGAGGCCTGCGCCTCACACTTACGGTGCGCACGCGGACCTTCTCCCGAAATAACAAGTAAAAAACACTTCGTGGTAGACATCCATCGGTCTGTATACAACATCGATATACTCTTGATTTATGATTTCAAATATATATGTTATATATATATATATATGTATATATTCAATGTACTCATGTACACGGCATGTAACGATGCATGAGAAATCAAGAAGCCCTCTAGCACTCGGCCTTCGGCAAAACCGCAGGCCGCAATGCGGCAGGTAGTCTTGGATGACGCACAGGGACGACCCGGACGACTCCTCCTGCGAACGTAGGAATTTAGTGATATACATATTCATATATGTATATATATATAACAAAACATATAGTAATCATATCTAGTATAGAATGCATAATATCTTCTCTATAATGAAAGTATAGTACAAATACCAGATAGCATATACGATATAACATACAACAGATCATATAAAGTAAATACAATATAGCATATAATCTACGAATAATGTATATATACACACACACATATATATATAGCATATGTATCTACTAAGAATAATAAGAACAAAACAACAATAACAATACCGTTCATCATAATTCTAACGGCACTTATAACGATAATCAGAAGAATAATAGTAGTTTTATTACCAACAATAACAATAACAATAATCGAGCAATTATACCATTCCCCGGGTTCCCCGTACGTATGAAAACAAACTTTGGGGTAACTCATTTGGCGACAGGAGCCTCGTGAACGTAAGGTTTCTGAACTCTCTCGATGTCCGTGTCGCGTTTGTTCTCTGAGCGCAGTCACACCTAAACCCTAAACCCTAAACCCTAAACCCTAGACCCTAGACCCTAAACCCTCAACCCTAAACCCCAAACCCTGAACCCTACCAGGATAATCTCAAATTCTCATGGAAGCTCCACCACCTAACACGGCTGACAGTCGACGCAGAGAGAGTCTATTTCCAATCTGGAATACCTCCAGTGTGCTGAAAAGTCGGCTGTCGTGTGGGCCCTAATGTCCTTAAAAGGTAGGTGAGAGAAATCACACCGGCTGGGACCCGGAGTCAAACAACAGGCTAAGCAACACAACAGGACAGCATTTTTTGCACAAGACCTGGTGCCTTTTGTGGGCACCCGAATCCAGTCGGAACTCGGAAAAGTGTCCTCCACAAGAGGTGAAACTGAGAAGGAAGGACAAGTGCGTCCTGTTGTGAAGATGAGGTGCATGAGGAGCTGCATGAGGAGCATGAGGAGCTTTCGCCCTCCTCCACATCCTGCAGGGAACAGCCTACGCCCTTTTGCAGCGGACTTTTTGGGAACCCTCCGCGCGAGAAGACAGCCTAAAGCCTCAACTGGCCTAAACCCTTGTTGCCTAGCCGCCAGGCAACCCAGAAAGTTGTCAATTTAACAGGCTCAGTACACGGCAGAGCCAGAAAACTTCAAGTACTGCCGGGCTGAGAGCTCAGACCCAGGGCACCAGGAGCAACTTGTTGTCAGAGGAAGTACTGAAGGTAAACATCTGTTGGGCGCCTTTAAGTCACAAGGCCCCCAAAAAGCATCAGGGCCCTATAGCCGGCCCTAGCTAAACCCCATACAACTACCGCTGCAAAAACACACAACCTCAACTACAAACACAATCCGCCAAAAGCAGGGTTTTATGAGCCCGTCCCTGGTGCGACCTGGAACTCCTTCTGTCGGATAAGCTGGCCCGCCAAGAGGTCGCCCTTCCAGCGTCAGGGTGTGCATGGGGGGGGGGGGGAGGAGGCCAGGATTTAGTTTACGGTGGGAACGGATATGTTGGGTGATGTGGACGATGTCAAGAAGTGAGAGGACGTCATCTGCATCCAGAAGTAATCAGAAGTAGTCACTCAAAGCACTGAACAAACCTGCAGCGTGCTGCAGATGGATTGCAACAGTTGAAGCATAGCATCATACTCCTCTCAGGTAGTTTGTACTGTGCTTATATTTCATCTTTTCTCAGCTCCCATAGGGCCCTTGGGGTGCCCTTGGGCTTCGAAGACCGGTGGAGTTTACCAGGTTCCTCCCCCAAATCAGTACCTTGGTGGGGGTCCCGGGTACCCTGAACCCCTACATCCTCAAGCCTAGGGGGCATGTTTTCACTACCTTGAAGGACCAAATGCATACAGGACCCTTTGGGCTTTGAATACATGAGCCCCAAACACGGGTCACCACTCTGAGGGGAAGAGCCTGCCCGTTGTCACCGAAGATAATGAAGTCGTACTCCTCATAGAGAGCCTGGCAAATTCGGGATTCTGCTTTGTTCGGGGTTGCCTCCACTTGGCCTTCAATTTACGTGCCTGCCTGCATCCTTTTAGGGCTCCTTTCCCAAGGAAGGTATTAGCATTGAACCGGAACGCGAGGGTGCCTTGAACTTCCAGTAGCTCTCCGCCTTCCGCTCGCCCACATCTCGCCAGCCGTGAGCTTGGATGAAGAAGGCCTGTCATCCACAGATAAGGCTTAGGGTTTAGGGTTTAGGGTTTAGGGTTTATAAGGGTTTAGGGTTTAGGGGGTTGTCACAAGTTTATGTAACCGCTCTGATACCTTGGCGCGCAGCACGCGCCCTAAGCCCTAAGCCGCACAGAAAGCTCGCATATGGACCTTATCGACTCTTATACAGCCACAAACTTTTTAATGAAAAGACCCTAAACCCTAAACCCCGAGACTCTTGGGCCTTGATCACGGCCACCATGCCCAGAGCCAGAGAGCCAGGCAAGAGGGAAGGTACCTCAAGCTAGCGTGTTGTCCCTTTCTCCGCTTATTTGCACGGTCCCAACCCTAGACCGGTACTAGGGTGTGGGGATACCTTTGTGGACGTCCCTGCTGCAGTGCAAGGCTTCTAGATTTGGGGCAGTTGGGGTCGTGGGCTCAGGGAAAATGACGCGTGGCTTGCCACTTTTAGTTTTAAACTTCGGGGGTTGAAAGGTTTACCCTGAACCCCATGATTAAACCCCTTCGACCCTATAGAGCCCATACAGCAGACCCTATAAAGCCTGTAAACCTGGATAAAAACCCTATGAAACCTCTGGAACATCGGCAGCTGCTGAGTCCTGGCGAGTCCTAAGCCTGAGAGCTGGGCGCAGTGCAGCTTCCCTGGCCGGGGAAGCAAGCTAGTGACAAGAAACAACTTAGGGGTCGGATTAATTACTCATAGTATTCTCTTATGGTTCCTTCATACGTCTACTAGAATCACCCCCAAAACTCTGTTCTAATTATTAGGGCCTGGGCTTTCTTTTTGCCACCCGCCTAGCTGACCTCTCGGACACTCTGCAGGGAACTGTCTATGGCAAATGTTCGCTTCGTCGAAAATGGGAGTAGCTTCCGATGGTCATTGGGGGCACTCCTCTTTGTACTATAAACACAACTTCAGTCATTAAACAGGCATTCCAAGTACTCACAACTAAATGCTACACATCCATCACAGAGGAAGGAGCCCCTCCGTTCTTCCGCTAGTCTGATTATGCGCCAATCGACGTCGCTAGCACGTCCAGCATCACAACCCAGACACCACAGTCCAATAGATATCAGGACACTATTGCAAGATCGATCAGCCCCAACTGGGTCCCTCTTTCTCCTCCTCTTAGTGGGAGGCTGGGGGGTTTGGGTTTATGGTTTAGGGGGTTCGGGGCTTCGTGGCACGGCTTTTGAACGGGTCCCCGGGTTTTGTGCTTCCGGGTTGGGGCGGATTCCGGACCGATACCGGGGGCACACTGTTGAAAGAACAAACATAGCGATGACTGGAATAAGTGCTATCATGTGCTAAAGCCTAAACCCTAAACCCTGGGCCTGCGGGGTTCCATTTTCAAGCGGCCGCTATCGAGGACAGTTGCAAAGTACTGCGGTTAAAACATGTGCTGACAAGAAACAAAGCGCGAAACCTCGGGTCTAGGATGGTGGCTTTGGGCGGCCTCTTCTTCAAAATCGTACGGGTTGGGCAAAGGCTTTCACTTTAGGGCACGCTGGCATGAAAAACAAAACCCGGAACGCCCTAAAAGAAGCACGCAAGAAGGGCCCTGCCTGTGGCAAACAACTCCTTGAACTTGATGAAGCTCTGGCGGGGGCAACACAAAAACGCAATAATAGTTATAAGACGCAATAATGGCGAAACAGGAGCACCTGACCCTCAACAGCCGCCACTCCACATGCTGTACAACGCACTCTCTAAGCTCATCCAGAACGAACTGACCGAAGCTTGCCTTGTTCTCAGCCAGGTCCTGGAGCATTTTTGGTCGAACTAGGGCGAAGCAAGAAGCATCAAAAGTGTCTAGAGCCTTGCGACCGCACTCTTGACACCATAGTCTGCGAGCTTACCACAAGGTACCACTTGAAGCCCCAAAAGAGGAAGCTTGTAGCGCTGCTTTTCCCTGGTCGGTCCTTGTAAACGTGAGGTCTTGCCGACAAGAACACCAAGTTGCAGCAGGCCGCATCAGGGGACCAACTCCTGCAAACAGCGCGCGTGCTGTCGAGGAAAAGAAGACATCCACGATCATGCTTCGGGTCATACGCATCAGACATGCTCGCTTTGCCAAAAGGAGCTACACCGCGAGCTGCCCGTCATCGGATGCGTTCATTCTGGGACTGCTTCTGTACACGGGCTGCGGAAGTTGACTGAAGAGAACTGATACCTACGCACTTAAGGACGGCCCATTGGAGCCGTGGCCGGACAAACTGACACTAGCTCGACAGTCAAAAGATTCTGAACCATTCCGTCGCCTGTCCAGTGCTTTGAAGAGATCTCCGCAGCCAGGGTAGACCATGTGCTTTGGGAGCCTAGGAGGCCCCACACCCGCCATCTCCAAAACAAAATACCCCCAGGCGCATCTCATGCGCTCTATATGGGGGTTTCCGGGATTAAGGGTACCTTATTGGGGTCCTTATTATACTTTTGGGGGGTCGACAGTAGGGTAAAGTCCCATATCGAAACAAACCATTCATCCTGATTGGTCAGCTGCAATGCAACTCAGGCACCGATCGTCGCAACCTGCGATGCAATCAGTAGGTGATGACTCTTCAATGCCAGGCATCAGGCCAGTTGTGGCAACTGTTGGTTATGGGAAGGTGCCTGTCGGAAGGTTGGCTGAAGATGTATGGCTGAGCCGTGGACCACTCAGGGTCGCTAATCCTGGGTCCGACTTTAAGTGGTGTTTTCAATTAGCGGCGACGAGCAAAGCGCCTGCAGGGAATTTGCCGCCGCTGCAGAGGAGGGTGTCATCAATGTCACTGAGAACCTGGTGTTAAGAGTTTATAAACTTTCAAGGGGCCGCAAGGGACCAGGACACGCCCTCATAAACCTATGCCGCTATAGTGCCCATGTGGAGGGTTTGATTAGGTGTTCACGGAAGAAGCCTTGTGCCTTAAACCCTGCTACACGTTCACAGAGCTCACAGAAGAGCCCCTACGCGAGCGAGGCTGAAAGCGCTTCCGACTGTCTTCCAGCCTTGATGCCCACCTCTCTGCCAAGCTGCCTCCTGTGGAAGACGCCATGCAATCTTCGCAGGGCTGTGGAAGACTATATGAGGCGACGCAAAACGAGAGTTGAGGGCCAAGGGTTTTGGGTACCCATCTCTTCTGCCATGGTGCTCTCATCACACTGGAGTTTGAGCTATTTCCCCTCCCCCAGCCAGTCCTAGCGATGCAGGACTCGGTGTGAATATGGCTGAGCACCTGACCACGCAGGGCTACAATGGCCCCTTTTTGTGCCAGAATGGGCTGGCACTTGTGCGGGACTTGTGTGTCCAAGTGCCAACATAGTATAGGCAGTATAGGGGACTATTGATTTCGAACGGGGTTTTGCTGTTTTGTGTAAGGATTCTAGAACCTCTTTTGGGGCAATTAATCGTTAATGCAATGATATCGGGATTGCAAGGGGGGAACATCCGCGATCACTAAATTAAGCTCCCGCGCTTCACGACACAGCGACACCAAGTGGCCTGGTCTCTCACGTGACTATCTCTGATGTCGACGTACACAAGCTTGTACAAGCTGTTGTAGTCTCCAGTGCCTCATTGCGAAAAAGTCAGGGACAACGTCTGCCGGGTACGGTGAAGCTTTATGGCGGCTCTGTGTAAGCTTTACTCTGATGCATTTGAGGTATGACAAGCTGAATCTGTATGCGAGTTGTCTCTGTGAAAGCACACCTGAGCGAGAACAGGAAGTAGGTCGATGCATCAGAATATTTACGGCTGCCCTTATCTGTGGCCAACCTACAGGCTATTCCGCACAGAGCTGATTTCTCACCTCAGAAGGCGACGCACGAGGGTGCGCCGTAGTGAAGTAGGAATGACAGTTGCAACTTTATCAGTGAGATGCCGCTAACCTTCCTTCACCTATGAGTTGGTCTCATCGTCACTTAATCCGAACTCCCAACTCGAGCCTTTCATGCAAAATGTCGCACGGGTGGGGGCGGGAGGGGTGGGTTTGGGGCTTGGGGGTTTATTTTTTCCCACCCGTGTCGCAAGCGTTTTGGGGGAAAAGGTCAGGGAATTTGTTTAGGGACCTAGGGTTTCGGGGGGCATTGTTGCCGAGGGTCTGTCCAGAAAGCTCTTCAGCTCTGTTAGTTCCGTAGACTTGCAGCTCTGGATCAGATCCTCGGTGCTTGACACCCCACAAAGCTCGAAATCAAGGATTCCCTCATTCCCGCTTATACGCCCCATCAAGGTATTTCGCAATGGCCCTTCTGATGCATACTGCTTGCGTCGTTGTGTCATACTCCTGTGTCGCGCGGACTGAGGATAGTGGCATGCCATGCAAGAAAGGCATGCCGCAAGAGGCTTGTCGCAACACAACGGTTTTGGTTTTCACACGACCACGTGCGCAACGACATGTTCCCACGAAAGAAGCCCAGCATCAAGCACGTAGTCCAATCGCCTTCGGGAGATGCCAAACTTCTGCAGGCCCTTAGGTGCTCGGCCCAGCACACACCCGGCTTAAACAAGTTCGGGTCTAAGGAGTCTAAGGAGCTTAGGCTGCCTAGGGGTGTTGGCCTTTATATAAGGCTTGAGGTTCGGCTCCAAGGCACTTAAATCCCCGAAACTCGGGCATCGCGATGCCTGCCTTTTTGGAGCAGCTACCGCGCCGGTAGCAAAATTCACACAGCCGCAAGCCCAAAATCAGGTATGTGGACCATAACCCGTCTCTTCGTTTCGTGCCCAAGAACTTCGTGAGAGCCCAACCTCTCAGTCGAATCATGCGCCGCAAACACCTGTAGCCCCCAAACCCTTTAAAACTCAGCGCCCTTAACATGTTGAAAGCCCAAAACCCGAACCCTAAATGCTAAACCCTTCCAAGCACCCTGTTGGCACCCTAAGGCCCTCAACTTTCAACAAACCCCTCAAACCGCAGCTCCGTCATGGGGCATTGATGAGGACGGCTTTGGCAAACGGGTCCAGCAAGCCTCGAGGGTGGTCTAAAAGTCATAAGACCCTTGTTTGGTTCAACCCTTTACTTCCAGGGACATCAGTATTGTGCCCTTAAGGGCTCAACACAGAAACCGAGTCATTAGTCCCTGGGAATATAGTGGGTGCCCACGGCCACCGCCGTCCAAGCAAGCAGCACATCCACTAGCCAGAGCATCCATCCCCGCAGGGTGAACTACGTCCATGCTACCACTGCATGCATTGTCCGGAGATTTTGCGCCGCATGCTATCTTCAAAGAGATACTTTTGGTGCTGCGCGCAGTTTCGTGGTCGCTGACTACTTTTTTGTAGCCAAGGCAATGTCTTCCCTCAGAAACTCCACGTGCCTGGCGAATCTCGCGGCAAAATCTGGGATTCTAGCGTAAACCGCCGCTGCACGACCCGCGAAAGCGCCGCGCCACTAAACGCGATTGGCACTTGTAGACCTCGCCGTCGTGAAGCGCAAGACTTCTGGGTGCTTGGCGCACACGCGCGTACTTACTTACCAATATCAACTGAAAAGCTATCTGCAACACCATTCTACTCAAAACGGCCCTTAGGTTGCAGTACCCTAGAAGAGGTCAGATGATTTTCATACCCTTGGGGCTTGGGGCAACCACATTGCCTTTATCGTTCTGAAAAAGGGTTTGATTATACGGGTTGTTTAATATTCTACCGTGGGGTTAGGGTTCGACAGGGTCGAGTCTGGTCTATGGGCAGCTTTCCGTGGGTCTTAGGCACCATTTACAGGCATGGGCTCAGCAGCTTGCTTGTGATCTATGTGCTCGAGACCCGTTGACCGACAATGCCCCCTTTTCGGGGTCCATATCCACCCGGATCCAAGGCCTTGAGCTAAGGCTTTCTCTACCAGTATCTCGTGGACCTCGTAGTCAGCAGCCTGCGCGTCGTGCATCAAGAAGGGGCTTTGGTTGCAGGCAATATAAGGGTTTAGGGTTTTGGGCTTGAGTGGAAAGGCTAAGTAGCAGCTCTTCGCACCCCCCCTCCCCCCCACAAGCACAATCAAAGAACACCATGTTCCAGCCTGGAGCATGTTGGCCATGTTGATCCTGCTGTACACCTCACGGACGAGCGCTTCGTCCCCTGTCGTCGGGATGAGCGCAGGAGTAGGCTTCATTGCACGGGTCTCAAACATGCACAGCGCACCGTACTCGATCAGATTCGACAGCAGCGCACGGACCTGCGACAGAGAGGCAGGGCACCCGCAACACACAGCTCATATGCATGACTCGACAACTCGTGCAGCGCATTGAAGGTGGGCTGCTCTGTTCTAGCATGTTGCTGTGCGACCTTGCGCGGTACGGGCCTCAGGCAGTAGCTGCACGCTTTGGCATTTTTCGTTTTAGATTCCGTCAAAGCGTGTGCGGCCTTTCGAAGGACAGCTCCATGAGCCGATAGGAAAGCAAGGAATGAACACGGAGAGTGGGAAATTGAGCGCAGGGAGCGATATTCCTCGTTAGTGCCTTCGTCATCGTGGCAATCCTGCGGCAGATCCGCGGTATCTCCTCGGCACGCGCTAGCACACCTCAAACCCAAAACTGAAACCCAGGGCTGTCAAAAAGACCCAACAATGACTCAAGCCTCTTGACGGAACGAGAGACTGAGCTATGCTATAAGGACTAAGTTTCAAGGATGGCCCTTAAAGCTTCTGAAACATATTTCCCTAAGATGATCCTCTTAAACCCAAATCAGGGAACATACGAAGTGTCTCAAGGGCCTACCTAGGGGTTTAGGGTTTATACGGGTTTAGGGTTGGCTTCTTGAGAGACATTGGTCCATGCTGCCAGGGTGCCAGCATTCCCCAGAGCAGGGTCGCCAGAGGCGCAGCGACCTCGCCGCTTTGATTTTTACTTGGCCGCAGGCTGTCTTACTATGCCGAAGGACTTTTTATGGGGTTTAGGGTTTTAGGGTTTTGGGGATTTAGGGTTCTAGGGTTTTTGCGTTTTGGTCCAAGGCCATAGCGTAGCCACTTGAGGAGAAGTCTCTTAGCATTGCACGGCCAGCCACGCTCCACTCCCTCGCGGTCTATTACTCAACCGCATACGCACATTCTTGAGATTTCCTGAACCATAATGAACCCCAAGAGGGGCTTCTGCTCCATTGCCTTTCTCGGGATCAAAGTGGTATTAAAGGGTATATAACCCCTGTTTTTTTTTTTTTTGGGGGGGGGGGGGGGGGGTTTGTTTCCTCCCCAGGGACGTATGCACAGATTGCCCTGTAGACTTGTTCAGCACCGGCCCTGTCACTGAAGGCCTTCGCGGGATAGTACACCACCTGCGCCACGCCAAAGTACATGAGCGTCTCCCTGGCTGTCAGTTCTGAATTCGGGAGGGGCCCGAACAAAACACCCCTCTTGAGCACACGATTGAACCCCAGGACCATAACAACAAGCCGCTGGTTGACTTACTAAATGTCCCGCCCTGAACCCTTGAGGCCACTTTCAGGAAGCCTCCCAAGCAGACAGAACAAAGGCCCCATGTTGGGGCTCCCAGTAATTTAACCAGATACCCTGTAGAACTATGATGCCGAGAGTGACATCTGGACCTTAAACCTTTTAGGCTTCATGGAGTCCTTAAAAGTTGAGGTTTCAACTGATTTCAGGGCGATGTGCTTCGACGCTCGAGCCGGGCAGTGCAACTCCCCAGCATCCAACAGCCACACTGCCGGAAGCTAGAGCAACCGGAGGAAGTAACCCGAATAGCACGTAGGACCGCCTAAGCTGAACCCTCTGGTAATAATTAGTCCTTTGTTCGCTGTCGCGAGATGCTTTTACTGGTAGGCCAAAGTCTTGCTGAAATGCGGCTGCGTAGCTGCTGCACGAACAGCAGCGGAAACACCAGGAGCGGGAAGACCTGTGAGAAAGCCGCAGATGGCCAGAAACATCAAACGCATCATAGCACCGAGGGTCCGGAACGTGTTACTTCAGAAATGCTCCCGCTCGGAACATAAGATGGTTCTAATCTCAAAACATGTGCCTGCCAACCTGTCTGCTTCTCCACACGCCCAAGGATCGAGCGTGCTGTGATCACGACTAAGGTAGATGTACCATGAACCCGTTTAGGGTTCACTGAAATCCCCAAAGCTCTTGAACTCAATAAGGGGCAATGCGGAACATGACCAAATGAAGCCCAGAAGGGTGGTCCACATGCCCGGCTTCCAGGCCTAGGGTTCATCAGCCTCCTCCCCCCCCCAACCCCTTCTCAACACCCTCTGAGCCGTCCGCAGTTGGACTCAGCAAACCAGTATCACGGCGAACGATGATGTGGTGCAGGTGTCTTGGCCAAGGCTTTTGCTTTGCTTTGCGGGCGGGACGCAAGGGTTCATTTAAGGTTTCGGGACCTTGCAACGGGGCTGCGCTTGTCAGAACGAGACCCTCAAATCCTGCCGCTGTGAACTTAACCTTGACACTTGTTGCTTTAGTATTTGACCGAACAATCATCGAAAGGGGTTCATCATCCCTTCCCGCTAATACTCCCGCCCCCCCCCCCCCTCGCAAATCTAACATTCGACTACCTAAGCCGGCTTAGGCCGTTGTGCCCCTTGAACTCAAATTCTACCTTTTCGGGTGTTTATAAGACCAGAGGGTTCAAGACTCAAGTCAAGACCCCTCGATCAGAGAATGTACCTTGACGCCGAAAGAGAGCCGCGGTTTATTTTTAAGGGGGCGCCGGGGTACCTTCATAACTGAAACACGAAACCCTTGACTCTACAAACCCTCAGCGCCTCTACTAAATTTAAAGGCTTGACGCAGGAAATTGTCCGGTGACTCTAGAGACCATGATGAACCTTGACTGTCAACTCCTAAACCCCCAAGCCGCCCAAGCCAACGCACCCCAGCATAACCCACCCGTGACCCCAGCACCGCTGTTGGGTAGGCGGACGCCGTCGGGCGTTCAGGCAGACGGTGTCTCTATGGCGCGTTTAACGGCGCAAAACCTTGCCAAGTACAAGACCTTGCCAAGTACACCCTAAACTCTGAACCCTAAACCCTTTTACAACCACCCTAAACCCTTAAACCCTATAGTTCCTCAGCTGCCGGCCCTTCGAGCTCTGTGACGATGCGGTGCGCCATGAGACTGGCGTGTGGTTTAGTATTTGCTTGAGGTTCAGGGTTTAGGGTTTAGGGTTTAGGGTTTAGGGTTTAGGGTTCAGGGAAGCCTTTTGGAGTCTTTGTGAGGGTAGATTCTGGAGTCGAGTGCAAGAAGCCCATAACATAGAACAGCCCCCATGTACCCGAAACACTTGAATGTAGTGTGATCTGTGGGCCCGGACACCCCACAGCAAGAGTCCATAGGGCCAACCAAACCAGCCCTAAAACTGGCATCATCGACATACAACTATTAGCCCTATTGTGGCATGTAGACCCTTTGTTTTTTTTTTAAATTCGGGCTGGGGAATGCCAGAAATGTAGACTTTAAACCCTGAACCCTTTAGGGTTCATCTAGTCCCGGGCAGGTCGAAGATACACAAAGAGCTCCCCTTGCCTGGTGTCGTCTTTTGGCGCGTTCTGCTGAGCGAAGGGGCGGAGGTCGCCATGAGTGTAGAACCTGTTTGGAGCCCTAAACCCCAAACCCTAAACCCTGCAGCCTAAGGCTCTTGGTTAGGCCCCTCATAGGGTTTAGGGTTTAGGGTTTAGGGTTCAGGGTTCAGGGTTTAGGCCCCGTAAGGTGGGTGCCTCGATGATCGTCGGGTACCGCAATGGATGATTTCGATCAACCCCGCATGCTGCAAAGCGTTCACCCTTTTGCCGCTGGTCTGAAGCATTACGTAACCCTGAACCCTAAAACCTGAGTTTGAACCCGTCGACAGGTGGACCCGAAACTTTAAACCACCCGATCCAAGAGAACATCGCCTACATCCCCAGCTGAGGCTGGAGCTCCTCTAAGAACTTAGGGACCCCCAAAGCCCTAGCACACTTTCTAGCTGGAATATCCTGGAATCCAGCAATCTGCCAGGCCCCATCATCCATGGCCCTGGCACGTGCAATGCCTGCAAACGCATCCCGTCCACACCCGAGAATTTTCTTGAGGAATGGAGATCCTTCGAATTGCCTTGTTGCCCGGATAATTCAAGGATGCAGCCCTAAACCCTAAACCCTAAACCAAAAGTGTTACCAGTCCTGGACCGGATTCACATTTTCCCTAAAGGATCGGGCCTGGGGGACTACACGAAGCCTAGAAGGCCTTCTAGCCGAATCCAGGTTTAGGGTTTAGGGTTTAGGGTTTAGGGTTTAGGGTTTAGGGTTTAGGGTTTAGGGTTTAGGGTTGATAAGTAGAAGAGCCCAAATCTGGGGAGCTCATTGGGTCTTGAAAGGGGTTAGGGTTCAGGGGCTTCTAAGCCTTAAACACTATAGTCTTAGACCCTATCTACCCTACACCCCTGCACCCTATACCCTACACCCCCAAACCCCACTTCCGCCACGGAACGGACTCAAGGGTCGAAGGGACACCACAGAGGCATAGATGCGCCTCAGTTCATCGGTTTAGCTTGGGATGTTCCTTCTTAAACAAACAGTCCTTGAAAGGAGTTATGATAGGGGCACAAAAATTCCTAGGAAGGAGTGTGAGTCTAAGGGGGAACATCCCAAGGTTTAAGGTTTTTGTGCCACTTGCCTAGCAGCCTCGCAAGCACACTGAGGGATGCGGGATGCAATGCGTCCACCGAGACTGAGAAGAAAGAACTACGGTTTAGGGTTTAGGGTTTAGGGTTTAGGGTTTAGGGTTTAGGGTTTAGGGTTTGGGGAAGAAAGAGAAAATGAAAAGAGGCAACTACTCTCGCGAGGTCGCCGGTTTCGGGTTCAGGGTGTAGGGCTTTTTCACGATGCTCCAAAAACTGTTGAGGCTTTGACGGGGCTCATGGGGTGTCGCGGTGGTGTCATGGAGCTTTGGAGTATGGAGTCTATATGTTCTGTAGGGTTTTATTGTAGGGTTTAAAGTTTAACCAGGGCGCTGTCTCCTGAACCTTTTGGGAACCCCATTGAGTTCTTAAACCCGGCATCCACGCCTTTTGGTTGAAGAATTGCCGCTAGCCGGCCTGCTTGGGGACGTGATTCAGGCTTTTGGCGAAGTTAGCTGCAATCATCTGGCGGGTTGTACTTGCAGTCAAGCAGCATGGCAACCATAACCTCAGTGTCGGAGCTTCTTGACATTTCGTCGGTGCAGGATGCTAGGGCTTGCTCTTTCCATTAGCTTACTCGAGGAGGCGTATTGCAATCCGGGCTCACTATGAAAAGTACAAGTAGGCTGCAAACGCGTTTGGCTGGTGTCCTTTGCCTCTCATGTGCCCCTGGTCATTAGTACGCGGAAACCGTCCACCTTCCAGAACATGTGATTGCCGCCCTTGACAGAATCCGTGTCTTCATGGCTTCGATGTATAGCTCCTCTATCCGAATACCACCTTAGTCAACTGCCACGCCCTGGAAGCCAACGAATAGCCTGAGCGCCAAGGCATTCGCCATAATGAACTAGCATAAACACGTAGGGTTCAGGGTTTAGGGTTTGGGGTTTAGGGTTTAGTTCTTCCAGCAGACCATCCGCCCTGGACTCGGCGCGAGATCCAAAATCTCAGAACCCCTCTCTGGCCCCGAAAGTTTGCCAAGCCCTGTACGCCACGATGCTGCCTTTGGGGGAGCAAGTGAACCCTCAAATTGGGGATCATTCCCCCTCCTCCTTCAAGAACCTAGATACGCCTATGGACCAGTAAGCCGGTGGTTTCACTAGTATGCCAAGACCTTGGTGCTTAAATCAAGGGTCAACCAACAGCCGATTCAGGTCGTAGGCCACTGCAGCACGACCCTCCCCATCCTTGGTCCACTTGCGATGTCTACAAGGAACACTCCCTCCAAATTCAACCAAGGTCGTCCCAAGCGTACAGTATCTCAGAAGTGACGTCGTGACAGAAAAGCACCAGGACGCCTGGAACTAGCCATGTTCTGAGCAGAATGTGCCTGATGAAAAGCTGAAGGAATGCTCTGCAGCAATTCCTGCATGAACCAAACAGAACAAGGAGGTGCAAGAAGATGCAATAGGTAACCCCACCCCCCGGCCATTCTGGAGAAAGCCCATGTGCAAAGGAACCCATGAGCGGTGGTGCGTTCGTGCACGCAGGACATGCTTCTCAAGCGATGGCCGTCGCGCGGCCGCCAGCAAGATCACATTCAACAAGCACTTGAAAACTCTTGAAGGGCCGGGCAGTTGCAAATTGTGGGCTCAGGAATTTACAGTTTCCTGCCCAGGGCGGCTGAGCGCTAACCTGCTTCAACAAACCCAGCCGTGGCCAGGCAGGACATGTCTCCCCTAAACCCCTTTTTGCATCTGGACTCCCCTAAACCCCTAAACCCTCCCCATCCCCCCCCCCCTGCCCCCAAAGAAAAACAAGAAAGTTTTTTCTCGAAAGGTTGCCCAGCGTCGTGGTGGGAACGAAGGACCAAAGCCCTGGGCGACATCAGGGATTACCCTGAAGCCCTCTGCAAGCGCTACTGGGCCCAAGAGGAGCCCATGAATAAACAGGGTATCCTTTTTGGTTTTTAAAGCTTTAAAAGAGGGAACCTAGGGAACCTAAAGCCCTGCAAAAGGGAATCTCTACTCTGGGTTCGAGTTTAGGGTTCAGTCGCTCACGCTCGCGCAAGCCACCGTTGAGACAGCTAGCTGACCCCGAATTTTGAGGAGTGCGTATTGAGAGTCGTTGTTCACCGACGATATTTGTCGGTGACTCTGATTTAAGGCTAACGTACCCCGAGCCCTGGAAAGGTAAAGCAGAAAATGCCAACTGGCTAAGTGGCACTGTCATGACAGAGACGCACGCGAAGAGGTAGTACATCTCCTGGGCGAGCAGAACTTGGCTCCCCGCATTCCTCTTTCAAATTGGATGCTCCCAAGGCATTTCTCCGGCAGGGCACCGGCAAGGGGGGATTGCATGTCAAAGCACTTTGTTGTACTTCCTCAGGGCCTGCGTGAAGTTCTGGCTGGAGTCTCACGTCTCCAGTTTCCAGCACAGGCTTGACCCAAGATTCTTTGGACTGCTGGCTGTTGGTAATAGCCTTGAAAGACTTGAGAGTGATAAGGATGACATGCGAACTAGTTACTAGTCCGTGCAGGCATCTAGCACCCTGTAGCATTCAATCCTGAATTTAGGGCTCATATAATATGCCCTTTTCTTAGCCAGTCGTGTGCCAAACGCTACTCCCTCAACACGTCCATTTGACCAAGGAGCCGTCACTCGTGTTGAGTGGCAAGGTGCCCTCTCCCACCTGGGCGGATTCTCTGGGGTTTAGGGATGTTACGCTCAACCCCAAACCCTGAAGCCCTAAGCGCTGCACCCTATAAAGTAAACCCTAAACCGACGTTTATGTAATGAGACTTTGTGTCCTTCGCGCAAGGTTCTATAACCTCCTGTCCTCATGTGCCAAGCCGCACAAAGTAGAGAAGGGCAGCCAGGGTGGCCTCAGACACGGTGGCCCATCACTCTCCCCCAAGATAAAAGCATGATTTTAGGGTAGAACTTATACTAGGTTCAGGGTTTGGAGACAGACAAGCAGCATGCAGACGAGCCGTTTGCATGCTTGAGGGCCTCTATCTGCAAGCGTCGCCTACAGGATTCGGAGAGAAACTTCGGGAATGACAGTGGCGCACTTACTATAGGGGTTGATCGACATTATGGGCCGGCTTTTGTAGCCGAATTGAACTATATGGGTATAACCACCAAAGGATGAACGAACAACATACATGAATATAAGCGAGTCAACAAAATTCTATTTGTATCCATGTTGATACTCATAGTAAAAATCTAAGTATTGCATTAATTTACACTTACATGGCTCTTGTGGTGGTCCGCCATTGCCCCGGTTACCCTGAGTGACCATTGCTGCCCCAAGGTGCAGCGATAAAAGTCCGTGTCTGCCAGGTTTGGTAGCTCGGGATCCGCATGACCTTCCCCGACACGTCGGTACCTGATTCCGATGTGTAGAATATTTTAGAATTAACAGAGGTCAAATATCGACGATGCTCTTGGCAACGGTATGACCAGCCAGTACCAAAAAACTCGAAACCTGCAACACGTAACGACGTAAAGAACTTGAGCTTCGATTCTGCTTAAAATCTAAGGCTGCTTCGCGCCAACATCTCCACACGAGGCGGCGGCACTAGAAGCAGCATGTGGATCTCCAGCTGGTCATGTGCAGCGTAGCTTTGGTATGCACCCTCTTCCACAAGAACCCCCGGTAGAAAAGGGCTCAGTAATCATCAAAGACTTAAACAACAACCTGACAACATTAAGCCGGGCTTGCCTCAAAACCCAGAAAACCCCTGTAAACCAAACATACCCTAAGACCCTCTAACCCAAAAACACATATCAGAACCCATATAACACCCTCTTACCCTAACCGTCCCTACCCCATATAACCCTAAGACCTAACCCCCAACAGATTCAGACTAGTTGCAGTTCCACGGCTCGAGTGGGCGGTGCCATTCCTGCAGCCACTCATAAAAGTCCATGGCTGCACTCGGATCCAGGGGTTTAGGGTTCAGGGTCCCGTTTAGGGTTTAAATTATTGGGTATACTGTGTACTGTATGGAGTGTTTAAGGGGAGGAGGTTCGAAATCAGTTAAATGGTAAGGGTTCCTAAGCCTTACTTCAGGGGGAGGGGAATAAGGACCCCGCTCAGCGTGCTGCATTCGGGGTTTGGGGTCGAAGGGTACAAGAGCTCATCTTACCTAAACCCTAAACCCTAAACCCTAAACCCTAAACTCTAAACCCTAAAGTCTTTAGCGACGTTCCAGTTGAGGTGGATTGGGGCCCTCTTGGGGTCTTACTCCGGAGGTTCTGCTTGGAGGTTCTCACGGGTAGGGTACAAGTGCCGTTCTATGTTGATGGGTAGCTATAAGCATAACTCGTTATAGAAGGGAATTGAAAAAAAAACAACCTATTCTCACTACCCATGACCTTCCAAGTAAGGCCTCCTGGACTTAGGCCTAGGGTCTGCGGGCACTGTTGGGGAGCCCTCCATGGTGTTTGGAACTTGGGGAGGGGGGGGAGGGGGGTATGCATCGTATGTTTGAGCCAGGAAGTCTGCAAGAAGTTCAGGTGTGACAAAGAGATTTCCCGTCTTGCTTGCCCCCCCCATGCTTGCGAGGCGCCAAGGCAGCGGCCGGTAACCAACAAGTTTAAGCGGCTCGGGCGATACGAGCTTCAAAATGCCCCACTGTCAACGTGCGCAACCACCGGGGGCACCCTGAAACACAGCACGCTAAGTTGCTTGGATGTACTCAAATGCATGTACATCAACCACAAGTCTAAACTGAGTTGACGTTCATGCATCGTGAACGGACAAGGTCCTTCCCAGCAAGAATAATAAAAGGGGGTTTGCGAAGATAGGGGATCCCCAAAATAGACCCCCAAAAAAGCAGGATCCCCTTAGAATAAGGGTCCCAATATAAGTTCCCTAAACCCTAAACCCAACACCCTAAAATCCTAAACTTCCTAAACCCTTAACATCCCTAAACCCTACACCTTGAAACCCTAATTTCGCAAACCCCCACATCAGGAAGAGTGCAGCTGAGGTCAAGTCATTGCACCACCCTCCGCAAGTGCGAGCGTGGAGACCTACGAAGCACTACCTTCAGAACCCAACACCTACTTTTTTTGTAGTGGTAGCCTTCAAAAATAGGTTTTGGTTCTTATTTAAGGTAGGGTTCTTCTTGCTGGTTCTGTTGACTAGATGACTAGACCCCCACCCTAAAACCCTGCACGCTGATGGGCTGAGACGCGCACACGGTACTGCTACGTACTGCTGTCGCTCTTGTCTCTTGCTGAACCCTATATCCCTCATCCCTAAACCTAGTTGTCCAGTAACCTGGGGGAATTCAAGGTTAACCTTTGGGATTACAAGGGGAGTATACTACCCCAAAAAGGTTAAAGGTTACCTACTCTACTACTAGGCTGAACCCACTTGGGGATGGACAAACTCAAGTCTCGCTCCGCTAGCTTTCGAACAACCCACTGAGAATGGGAAACGTTGGCCCTCCCCCCGCCTACCCCGACGGAAGAGCCCTTATGGAAGGGTCTCCATTGTTGAGGAGGAGAGGGGGGGCGGGGGCCGGGGGGTTGGCGATATGCTCTACAGACGTGCTTTCCGAAGGCTCAGAAAAAACCCAATGCACCCGCACGACCTTGCAGAACTCCACGTCCTGCCGCGAGCCTGTCGGGGGAAACCGCATCACCATGTCCACGCGCACTATACGGCGAGCAACAAAATGACAGCCACGAAGTATGTAACATGGCCCTGGAGCTCCAACTAATCTCGTTTCAGCCCCCACTGCAGCACAAACATTGGTGGTGTGGCACCGCGCGCTTGAAGTCATGACATGAAGCAAAGCCTGCCATTGACTAAGTATGCCATGCCCGGTGTGCAGCGGTGGTCCGGGCCTTCTGCAGCTGCACGGACATGCTGCAAGCAGCGTCACTTCAGAGTAGATCTGACTGTGACGTCTTGGTCTTGTCTTTGTGTTTGCGGGCTTTCAGGACAGTTTCAGCCTTGTTTGAGGAGCCGCTGAGCTGAGCTGGTCACTGCTTGCTCGGCTTCGTCCGCTGCTCGTGCGCGCATCCCTGCTGCTGTGCATGAATAAGCCAGCTCTGAAGCGTATACTGCTTGATGTCAGCATGGCCTCGAGTTGCTCTCAATGCCTAACATCGGTCCAGGCAGATGTACTGACTCTACCGCTGTCGCGCTTTGCCGGAGCATCTCTTGTCCAGCTGGTGCCGTCCATTGACTGACATTGCAGTCCCCCTCCCCGAGAGTCCCTGTCAGATCTCTCCAGCAATGCCCCCCAAAGTAACAGAGCTATCGAACTCAGACAAGCTGCATCTTTAGGCAATTGCTCAATCCATGCCCTCCATCGATACTCACGCTCAAGAGCTCATCAAAGCTACAGGCTCACTATGCGCACCCATCGACGCTACAGGCTCACCGCGCGCCCTCGGGACCTGCCATACGAGTAGGATGGAACAGTGCAGCCTGACATGAGCCTAATCCTTGCCCAGAAGAAAAAGTTGAATCCGACTGAAATTTTGACTTCACGCTTAAGCACAATATTGAACTTTGGACCGCTTCATCGACTTCACTTCCATGCCAAACTTGCCTGGCTCTCCCTCCCTCCCCCTCCCTCCCCCAAGCCTAAACACAAGTCCCGAGGCTCAACCCCTTCCCCTTCCGAGCTGAAACCCTAAACCCCTGAACCTTAAACCGCATCATCGCCTAAACCGATAAGACTCAAGACGCCGCAAAGCTACTTTTTCAGCACACACATTTGCGAAAGCCCCCCAGAAAGGATCAAGGTCTTCAGCTGCTGGGCAATGCACCTGCAGGTTGCGATACTGAAATGAAAGGGACTTCCGGAAGCTCTGAAGTGGATCGCAGGCATGCGCAGGCTGCTTGGCACCGCGATGCCCGACGCTTCCTTCAAACTCCGATCGGCTCCTCTTGGGGACCAGATGAACCTAAAAATGGGGGGTCGTCTACCTGTATGCTATACGTAATCCCTATGAAGGTTTTTGGACCATTATGAACCCTTTAAGTTTTCTAGAGCCCATTTGGTTCCCCAGGCTATCAGGTAGTTCTGTGCTTCGCGACTTCGGCTACAGAAATGATAGATTCTCCAATGGTCAATGTCTGGAGGCTGCTTGGCAGCGAGACATCTTGGAGGCTCTGGCTATACCGCCCACGAAGCTTCAATGTCTGGAGGCTGCTTGGCAGCTCGACGCCTTGCAGGCTCTGGTTGAAATTCGCACCTAAGGTCAGCGTGTGCAGGCTGCTTGGCAGCGCAACAGCTTCTAAACTCTGATTGAAACACCAGCCGAAAGTCAACGCCTGTAGGCTGCTTGGCAACTTGACGTCATCCAAGCTTTGATTGAAATCCCCACAGAATGTCAACATGCGCAAACTGCCCGGCAAGGTGATGCCGTTTAAAGGCTCGTTGAAATCACTGCCAAAGGTTAATGTCTCAAGGCTCTCAGGCAAGGTCACACCTTGCAAGCTCTGGTTGAACTTCCAGCCAAATGTCCTCACAGTTGCTGTTGGAGTGTTAAGAGGGCTTTTCTCATGTCATGATGCTTCTTCAACTCTTAAACTTAAACGCCCCCAAACTCATTATTTCGATCAGCATCAACTCAATGCAAACTATGCGCGGTGTCTAATGATGACGATGCCTTTTGCCGAGGTCCGATTTCTGGAGTAAACCGTGTTTTTTGTTAGTTCTTGTCTTTCTTCATGATCATCATTTTCCATAACTCTTCTAGACATGAACCCTAAACCCTAAACCCCCATCCTATGAGAAGCATTTTCGAAGAGAAACCCAACTCCTCAAACTCCAAACCCTTGCGAAAGCCCAAAGCTTATAGCTCCGTTGTTTAGCACCCTAAACTCTAAATCCCATTTCAACCCCTTTTAACTGTCCCCTTTATGCCGATCATGATTTACACCATGAACTGAATTGACAGGGGCCAAAGGCGGCCAAAGGTCAAGGTCTGAAGGCCACACGGCAGGACCACATCCCTCAGGCTCCTGTGGTTTAGGGTCTAGGGTTTCTCCGGACGTTGCTTCGGGAACTGCTTTGAGAGGGTGGGGGGGGGGGGGGGCTTGGCGCATTCTATACGCAGTTTTCAACAAGGTCTTTAAAAAGTTTCTTGCTTCGTACATGCTTTGGATAAAGCCGCTTGCGGATTAGCACGTGCTTTGTGGGTTGTAGTGAAAACCAATGTTGAACATGATCCACCTCTTGTTACGAATACAGTCCCTTTTCGAAGCATGGTCTGAGGTCGGCGCCAGCACACTCAAAGATGGACACACAGTTCCTAAAACCCTTATTGAATGGACAGCGCTTAAACCCTAAACGCCCTAAACCCTAAAAGTTAGTGTCAAATTCAGTCTAGGCTCTGGTTGAAATCGTTGCCGAAGGTCAAGGTCTGCAGGTTTCCGGGCAGCTTGACGGCTTGCAAGCTCTGATTAAGTTCCAGCCGAAGGTCAAACTGATCAGACTGTCTGGCAACGCCACGCCCTCCAGACTCTGATTGAAATCTCCCCGGAATGTCAAGGTCTCCAAGCTGTTTGGCCATGAAACAAATTTCAGACTTTGATTGAAATCGGGGCCGAAGATCAGCATCTGCAACTTGCTGGGCAAGTTGACAAACTCCATCCTCTGATTGAAATCACTGCCAAAAGTCAACGTCAACAGACTGCTCGGAAGCAGAACGCCTTCCAGACTCTGATTGAAAGCATCGCCGAAGATAAGTGTCTGCAAGCCACTGGGGAGCGTGATGCCCTTGAGGCTCTGATTGAAACGCTCGCCGAAAGTTAATGTCCGTAGCGACTCAGGAAGCGCCACCGTCTCCAAGCTCTGATTGCAATACTTGCCGAGCATCAATGTTTGAAGACTGCTCGGCAGCTTGACATTCCGCAAGCTCTCGTCCGAGTAATCACCGAAGATCAATGTGTGTAGATCGCTGGGAAGTGTCACATCCTCCAAGCTCTGATTGAAGTCCCTGCCGAAGGTCAACGTCTGCAGGCCGCTGGGCAGCACGACATCATCCAAACTCCTGTCGAAGTCACTGCCAAAAGCCAGCGTCTGCAAGCTATCTGGCAACATCACACCGTTCAAGCTCTGGTTGAACCGATCGCCAAAAATGAGAGTCCGTAGGCCACTTGGAAAAGTGACACTTTCTACGCTTTGGTTGAAGGACTCGCCAAAGATCAAAGTGTGAAGGCTGTTTGGCAGCGTGACACCAACCAGACTCTGATTGAAGTCCCTGCCAAAAGTCAGCGTTTGCAAGCCGCTGGACAGCGGGATGCCCTCCAAGTTCCGATTTGCGTTCCATGTCATTGAGGCGGGTTGCGTCTGGCTGGTCTGGGTGTTTTGGGTGGTCTTCACATCTTTGGCGCACATGTGGTGCTCAGCCCCTTGTGCAAGCGGTCGCAACAAGGTCACTGGCGCTTGACCAATGCAATCTTGCGCAATAACATTGCTGATCTCTTCGTTCACGGACTCCGGTTTCACATTGTTGCCGGAATTGTTTGTCAAGAGCTTGGCGTTGTTCGAGTTGTTGGTGAACGGCTTGTCATCGCCGACTTCTTGGTGCAAGAATCTGGGCTGGGGAGCTTTCACAGGCATTTGATTTTTGACTCCTTTCCATGGAGCCTCGGACTCATGGCAAATGCTGCCACGCATTGGCACACACAGCTCTCCATTCCCGACTCCTGTCTCGAAGTGCACAGGCATCGTAGCCGTTTCCATGCCAAATGGCCGCTATCTAAGCCAAGGAATCTTCAAGAATCCGCTTCAGGCTGACAGGCAGCGGTGCTTAACTGTCGGTTGAAGGATCCAAATGAAATCTGATATGGTGAACCTGCACTGAGCTCGTAGTATAGCTCAACATATAGTCAGTTCTGCTCGTGCTGGTAGCAAGGCAAGCAGTAGCAGCAGGAGCCAACTGAGATGGTACAACTAGCTGGTGGCCAGTAGATCGCAGTGAGCGCACAGTTACAGGTGGTTATGCCGCTACATGAGCTTCGCACGGGGTTATTGCAATGGAAGTACGCGTAGTGGAAGTAGAGTCGCTTAGGGATTAAGAATTAAGGTTTTGATCCCTCAGCGTTTTCAGGGAAATACCTCAGGCAATCCAATTCCCGACCTCCCTGCGGCGGACCTAGGCAGGAGAAGTCCCGCCTAGCCGAAACCCTTCCGGCGAAGAAGTTTCGTTTTCAAAGGTGTGACGCCACACTAAAGGAGTGATAGAATTATTCTTTAAAAGGAAAGGTGTGGCAGTTTTTGCTTGCAGATTATCGCCAAAAAATGTTCCGCCGGATTTGTTTTTAAAGGTCTGGCGGCATGATTGTTTAAAAGGTGCGGTGGCCCCTTTCTTCTCCCAAACCCCCAAAAAACCTCCAACAAAACCCTTGAATTAAACCCTTCTGCACCTCGAGACATCGACCCTTCAAACCCTACCCCCCCCCCCCCCCCCCCCATGCCACCTTGGGGATGGCCCGGGCCTGTAGCAGCTGCGCCACCTCCGCGGTTATGGCCTCGCCGGGTGTGTTGGGTTTAGGGTTTAGGGTTTAGGGTTTAGGGGGTTTAGGGGGTTTTGAGGGATTGGGATTTTGAGGGATTAGTTTTGGGGTTCGGGGGAAGGGATTTGGGTTTAGGCTTTCGGGGTTTGGGTTTTAGGGGTTTTGGGGTTTTAGGCTTCTAAGGTCAAGGTATAGGGCTTAGGGAAGTTCGGTGGGGCTTGGACGAAGCGAATTTATCCTAGAAGCGTTTAGGGTACGTTAACCCTAATTGGGTTGAGAGTAGTATCAAGCCCATCTGATCCCAATTCTGGTTCATATACCCAAGGCTTGAGGTGGGGTTGTCTAGGGATCATGGCTATGAGGTCCCGGGGATGATCGGCTTCGGCCTGAAGATTTTAGTTCCTTGGCTTGGGTTGATCGGTCTTAGGGGATAAGTTTCCATGGTTCGTAGGATCAAGGCCAGGAACGGGCTGAAACAGGTTCAGCTACCCTGCTATGGGCTGGGACGGGTAGCGCAGGGTACATGATCCCGATTTGAGGGTTCATGTGCGCAGAGTATATGGACCATACACACCCCTGTCTTGCCACCAAAAAGCCTCAATACCTCTCTTCTCTCTTCTCTCTTTCATGTGGCACCTCTGTACGTGCCAGTCGGGCTTCCAGTGCTGCAAGCGAAGCAGTCAGTGTGTCCTCGGCAAAGCTTGCGCCTTCTTGAGCTTGCAATAAGGTTTCCAGTTTCCAGGGTTTAGGGTTACAGGGCTTATCGGGTTATCGAAGAATGTGCCAGAATTTTACATGAAAGATAGAAGATGTAGAGTATCGGCTCAGGGCCAGCGTGAAAGTCCTACTCGCCATCTCAAGCCTACCTGCAAGGGGCCCTGATCGAAAACTTTCAGCAACATGCAGAGAAGGGATTTACAGCCAAGGATGCAGAGCTCGATTGCCTTGGGCTGAACTATTCTTCTTGTCCTTGGGAACCCAGAATGAATACTAGTAATGCAACAAAACACGGCGGTTTATGATGCGCAAGCTTTGCCGGCTGATGCTCACGGGCTTTGCCAGCTGATGCTCATGATGCGCGGGCTTTGCCGGCTGATGCTCACGGGCTTTGCCAGCTGATGCTCATGGTGGCAATGGTGGTACAGGGTGTATACGACCCCATTTTGAAGGTGCATGTGGTCCCGCAGGTTATTTCTGACCGGGTACCGGGTAGACAAGCTTTGCGGGGCTCTGGGAGGCCGCTTCTTGTACTCTTGAGGTTCTTGTGGCATCTCCTTGCTGCACAGGAAGCATTGCCTCATAAACCATAAACTTTCCCTTTGTTGCATAAACCCTAAACCCTAAACCCTTGTCGCCTCAGGGCTCCTGTGGCAGCTTAAACCCTACATTTAACCCTAAACCCTAACACCCTCAAGTTTCCCTTTGTTGCAGATACCCTAAACCCTAATCCCTAAACCCTAAAAACCCAAAGAGCCCGAACTCTCTTGAGGAAGAGTGGCCATGTCGGTGACCATCTTCTCCACGAGTCGGGCCACCGTCTCGGGCAAAGCCTCCCGCTGACGCTCCTGTGGGTTGAGGGACATTTAGGGATTTCATAATGGTTCAGGAGTTCATACTTAGGGCAGGACGTTAGCACATGCCGCTTGTTGGGGGCAAATGCACCTCAAAAGCTTGAACGGGTCTATGTCTATTTGAAAGGATGCAGCATTCCTTGTGTAGGGCTTATAGTATTCATCCCAAAAAGTCCCCAAAAGTCCAACAACCTCAACCGCGGCTCCTCCTCCTTCGTGGGCCTTCGGGGGTTCGGCACCTCTGGCTGCCCAGCCCAGGCGGCCTTGCTATGTACATATATATATATATATATGTATGTATATATATATATATATGTATGTATGTATGTATGTATATATATATATATATACACATATACATACATAGATTCATAATACATGCACACTTTATATATGCACACGCATAGTAGTCATCAGATAACTCAGATAATATCTATCTATATATGTATATACTGCACATTCATCATGTGTGTATATGGTAGAACTGTAGAAGTAAAGAACACTTCAACGAGCACATAAATCACACAAATATGTCTGTATGTAGGTTCTCTGGGATTGTTAGGGTTAAGGGTTGCTCTCAAGTGGGGTCTAAGAGTGGCAAATTGGCGCTTAGTTTGGGCTTGAACTCAGGGAGGCTGGTCCTCATATGGACCCTTGCACCTGAACAACTAAACGAAGGTACCCTCGTAGGGGTTCTAGAAGTGCAAGCGTCGGGTAGTGGATCCCAATTTGAGAGTCCATTCGTCCATACCTCCGCCTTTGCAGATCTGCTCTCCAATCCGAAACCAGAAGAACCTTGGGACCTTGAGGACCAGATGAGCCCGACAAAACTCGGTGGAAAAATGTCTCTATGTGTCTGGAAACGCGTAAGAATATATGAATGTATATATACATATATGTATACTGTATACATATATGTATATGTATAATCCGATTGGGTTTATGGACCTGAAGGATCCTGAAGGCACGGCCCTCTGGAGGCTTTTGAGGCTCTTCCCTGACGCTGGAGTCTCCTGTTGGCTTCCGCCTGTAGAATCCTAGTTGTCCAGTAACCTGGGGGAATTCAAGGTTAACCTTTGGGAAAACAAGGGGATTATACTACCCCAAAAAGGTTAAAGGTGACCTACTCTACTTCCAGGGAATACAAAAAACTCCTACGGCCCAAGCAGGCTTCATGGCGCAACATTCCAACCCCTTTCACGAGTGTTGTATAGGTATCCGTTCAGCACAGGCACTCTGTGCAGACGTTTGGAATAATTCTGCTGCAGGACCCATGAGCAACTCAGTCTGCAAAACGGACATTGCAGATGGTTGGCAGGTCTGACAACTGCCGCGAAATAATTTCCCAGAAACCACTTCCGTCACAGCCAACGCCCGCAGGCCCGCAGGCCTCGAGGAGGAGGTCCGCTGCTTTGGGGCTCAATGTGGCTTCTGGCCCCGCACCCGGCACGGCGTCCGCTGGGCTCCTTGGAGTGAGGTCAGGGACGTTCTTAAACCACCCGTCTAGCCACAGCACTGCGGGGCCCGAACTGCAGAAATGCGATCAAAAGTGTTTAGGGTTTTAAGGGCCTTCATATTATTGTGATTATGGGGTCGCCCGTGGCCAACCGACGGTCGCCGCTCGCGACAATTCTGGGGTCTGAGGTTTAGGCTTGTTTGCCTGATGGTCAGTTCTTAGGGTAGTACAGTGGTAGTACAGTACAGTAGTACAGGAGTCTCAATGACGACCTATCTTCTCAAAAACCGCACCAAGGACACATTCTCGTCAAATTGGCAGAAGCCCTCCACCCCAAATCCCAACCCTGAATGTACGGGGCCACTATAAACGGACCAGGCGCTGCACCATCAGCAAACCGCCCAGGACTTCTATAGCCCTTTTCTAAGATTCTAAGCACGGCCTGAGGAGGCTGCCGGCAACACCTGAAATTCAGGGGGCCTTCTTGAAGCCCTAAAAACCCGAAACGAAAAAGCCTTAGCCGGCTGGGTTTGGGATATTTTGGGGTCTGCGACCCAGCTTCGGGAAGCTCTCGGCCGTTGCTGGGCTCGGCTCCGGCAGGGCCGGCGGGGTTGGAGCCGCCAGGGGCGGGCAGGACCTGATTCTCGCCCCACCCTTTTTATTCAAGGGGCGAGCAGGGATGCTTTTGAGGGCTTTATAAACGTGCACCCCTTGCCACTCTTCTAAAATGTCGACCTTCAAGCAAAGGGGCCAATAGAGGACGATCTCGCTGTCGCAGCTGGCAAAGTGGTCCCCTGCCTCATCCCAGCAGCAAGAATGCACGGGCCGGTCGTGCCCCAGTATGGTGGAGCAAAGCCTTCCCGCTCGCAAGTCCCAAACTCGAAGCTGCCTGTCCGATGAAGACGACAGAATCAGATCACTGTGTGGATGGACAGCCACTTGGGTAATGGGACTTCCCCCGTGCGCCCTCCCATAATGTTGCCGGATCCCGTAGGAGCGGACGTCCCAGAGATTGATGCTGGAATCCCAGGAGCTTGCAACGACCACATGGTCGCCCAATCCGAAGCGGGTGCCTTGGCAAGTATACGAAGTCGCAAGCATCCTTCATAGAGATTACTGATACAGTAGAAAAGGGCATCAGATCTCACTTGTGAAGTATATCCGGTCCCCAAGGTGCACGTAATGCTCGAGGCGCTGTCGCTGAATGTCTGCAGGCAGCACTTGCGCTCCACATCCCAAAGCTTAACAGCCTTATCGTCGCCGCCTGATACCATGTGGGTCGAGGTGGAGGACAGGGATGCAGAGCGCACCCAGTTAGAGTGTCCTGCAAAGGCCGCGGCAAAGCGGCGCTCGGCCAGCCAAGTGAGCTTGACGGATTTGTCGTCGGAAGCCGTGAGCAGGAGGCGGTCGTCGGTGGAGATGTCGCAGCAGCGCACGGGGCTAAAGTGCAGCTTCAGCATAGCAGGGCCACCTTGCTTTTTCTCGACCTGGCTTGCAAGAGGCCGGGCACACCCCAACCCAAGCCTTAACTTGGAACTCGGAGACTAAATGAAAATCCTAGCAGGGTTCATGGTCCATAATACCTTCATTCGGACAACGAGGTTAGGGTGTACCTTGCCGATTTCACTTCATTGTTGATCTCTCAAGATCTGGCAACCCTTTCGGAACTTCCCGACCGGCATCTTCCAAATGGCCACCGTGGAGTCCGTCGAGGCAGAGACAAGCGTCCTCCCCGAATTGGTGGCCTTGCTTAGGGTTCGGGGTTCAGGGTTTAGGGTCCTGAACCTCCGAGCCCCGAAGCGCCACATCCCCCAGAAAGCCACACAGTCCCAGGGGGCCTTGACGCAGGTGATGGAACCGGACTGCCCCGTCAGTCTTTGGGGCCTTGGTCTCCCAGGGGCCAGGCTCCAGAGGAGGAGGCTGCCATCCTCATGGCTGAGAGCTCATTAGGGTTGTTCTAAGTAGGGTTAGAAGTAGGGTTGCAAGTACCCTGAATACTGTCTTAAGTTTAGGTTTCGTACTTTGAAGAAGATATTGATAACTTGATAACCCTGACTCCACTGCTTCGAGAAGAAGCTAGTTCAGCCAAGGATATGCTCTTCGTGTAGGGAAGAGGTGCGAGTTTTTGTCTGTGATTCGCTTCGTGCTGCGAGGCTGCTAGATGAAAACAACTGCAACATGGACCACGGACCCTGTTGGGGTTCGCTTAAAACCCTAAACTCCCTAAACCCTGTTGAACACTTAAAACCCTAAACTCCCTCAACTTTAACCCTACAGCCAACACATCCCCCAGGTGAGGCTCCTGAGTACCGGCGGCCACCTGGTCCCGGCCGCGCAGCAGGGTTGCGGCCGTCAGTCGAAGGTCTGACGCTCCCTGGAAGGTCCGAACCACCTGGCTTTGGGGGGGAGGCTTGGAGGTAACAAGGCACTTGCAGAGGGGACTTAAGGCTTCTTCAAGAAAAAAAGCCCAGCATCGCCTGAACCTGGGTCAGGTGCTGCACTACACCGCTACGCAAGGGCCAGAGAAAAGACACCAGGGATAACTTGAGTCGGTCCAAGAAGCTGATGGCTCACCATCGGAGCCCTGCATGGCATCTGCCCGAGTCAAGGATCTGACGAGCTTGTCCAAATGCGAGCAGTTCCACATAAGTCCACCTTCCACATCTTGGATCCTGATGAATATATATATATATATATGTGTGTGTGTGTGTGCCAAAGTAATATGCGTAGCTCCTCTGGATGCTTGCGTCTACCAATCCCTGCCTCATAAATTTCGAGCAGCAGCCGCTGCGTGCACATGAAACCATGTGGGAAGCTCATGACAACAAAGGCGTCATGCCGGGTTTGGGCCCAAATACCGGGAGTTCTGCTGAATGACCGGGCTCTGCTTTTCCACCCGCCAAAGGCAGCCACTTTCCTACGAACTTGTTGTGGCTCCTGCCTGGGCACCCCTGCCACGCCAGCAGGCATGATGCCGCTCCAAGCTGCACGGCGGGGGGGGGGGGTTTCGGAACCTAGGGGGGCCCCTTTTTGGATATCCTTTCAGGGGTATCAGCGGAGTAGTTAACCAATTCTTTGTGGAAGCTCCCATGTCAGCAGGGTGATCAGGGCAGGAAGCGGAAAACTGAGCTTCTCAGCTCCCTCAATTCTTGGGACGCAATGAACCGGGGAGAGGTTTGTGGCGCATCTACGGTTTAGGGACCCTAAACCCTAAACCCTAAACCGGACTTACGCCTTCTCGGATGCCTGAGGCATTCACGGTGGGACAGGGTAGGACATCATAGGTACGACCCTTCACTCAACACCAGACCACGCACTCCTTAAGCACAACAACACCTGTGTTTAGGGTTAGGGGTTGAGGGTTTAGGGTAGCAGGCGGGCTTTTTTTGCCACCCGCCTGGCTTAGACTGTGAGCTGACTGACAGGATTGTTTTGGGAGTGATTTTACGGGGTTTTGTATGATTCGTCACATCATTTGAGTTCATTTGGCGCCAAGGACAAGCCCCTCAGAATCGATCTCTGGAGATGCGGCCGGGGCTAACCGCCTGCGAGGGTGTATAGGAGATTGACGGATGCAAAGATAGGCGACAAGAGATAGGTACTGCATAGGGCAGGTGACTGAGAGAAGGCTTCAGCGATTCAGGCGATTCCTGATATCGTGGAATCGTGGCGATAAGGGTGCTTGGGTTACGCGGGCTTGTTCTGCACGGACCGCGTTGCCTTAGCCAAACGCTGCAGTTCTCCGCCCAGGTCATGGTGGCTGCAAACCTCGAAAGGGTCTCCGTCTCAGGCCTTTGATCTCACGAAGAGTCGCCACGAAACAGAAGCCAGGGAGCAAACCTTCAGCATCGCTCAAGCTTTCGCCTGGGCAAGTCGCGAGTCCAACATTTCAACGTTGAGGTTCTTTGGGACGGGTACTGCCATAAACTGCCCCAAGCAGTGGCTAAGTTGAGACCCTCTGTTTTAGTCCAACCCTACGCCCCAAAAAGTAGCCTCTGACACTCTGCCGTGCTGGGCTTGTGCATGCTGAGTGCGGCGGCCACATCTGCGGCAGTGGTGGTGCCTTGGCCGAACGCGAACTGCCCGAACCACCAGCCGTGGGGACTTAAGATACCTTGACAGGGATTGTATGGTCCAAAAAGCCCTCAAATGACGACCGTCTACCCAGAGTCATACTAGGTTCACAGTTTCCGATTGAAGTATATGGGCCTTAAGCTCATCTATAGGGTCGTTGAAACTTCGTCGCCAGGCAGTGTGTCACGAGGCAAGGAGGAAGGCAAACGGGGCTCCAGAAAAGTCCAAGGCACCCTCGACAGGGATGATCAACAACAAGGCAATGACACAATCCAACATTCTCAAGTTTATAAGTGCTCGGTTCACCTCCACTGGGTCTGCGACGAGTCTTGGTGCGCATGGTGCACCTCGGCCAACGGTCTTGCACCGGCATCTTCCCATCAGCTGCCGTTCACTGTGACAAGCTTCCTGGACATTTCCCTTTGCTCCCCAAAACAGCTGATGTTGGCATTTCCCGAAGTAGGGGTGCTCCTTATGTACACCCGCGTGGGATGATAATCCTCTCTCTAGCAACCCCCCAAAAAGGGCACCCTAGCAACCCTCAGCCCCCAGCGCCGTGTTCCCGAGCTCCTAAAAACCAATGTGCAGCCAGCCTGCTAAGAGGGTTTCGGGCCCCTTAAACCACAAAACCCTTCACCTCTGAAGGGTATTATATTTCCAAAACCCATGGTCGGGCCCTCTCTGTGAGAGAAACTGACTCCTGGACTCGGATTCGGACCACTCTTCCGCGGCTGTGGGGTGGATTCCGACCTCTCATGCGCAGGCATGCCTAGGACGCCTAGCAGACATCCGCAGGGACTTCACGATGTCAATGGGAAGGTACTGGGAGAAGGCTAAGCACAGGTCCGTAAACTACCATGGCCCTCAGATCAGCTCTGCTATCACAAGCTCCTAGACCTCAGAGAGGAGGGTGCAGGCTTTGAAAGGTTTACAACTGCCCTCGGGACTACATGAACCCTAACATGAAACCGAAGAGGCTGCATGATGGTCCTTTTCCCTTCATCGAGAGGGTATAACAGCATAAACAACAAACCTTAGGGTTCATGTGGCCGCCGAGGTCAGCCTTCATTCAGAAATGTACCGGACTCCATGGCCAAGACCCAAGACCCTGTCTAGCTCAGGACCCTATTGCACCCTTCTTGCACCCAAACTTCTTCGGGTGTTGCCAGAAACCTTATGACACCGCAAACCTCAGCCTTGAGGTGCCCATTCCCGACTCAAACGGCCGTGGGCTCTTGCGAACAACCTCAGGCCCCCGGCCGTGGAGTCGAAGTCCGCCTTAGTCGCCCCAGCCTGCAGACATTGGGGGCTTAGGGTTGAGTGTTGCGGGTGATACAGGTGAACCTTTTTATGATTGTTTGCTTTTTATTCTAAGGCGTTTCTTGAATACCCATGAGCAGGTTAGAGGCTGCCTACTCAGCACCTAAGCTCCTGCAATTCAGCAAACGGCGAGAGCGTGCCACCTTAGTTACCTTAGTTCAGGAGAGGTGTGCGGCGTACGACAGCTTCTTGTTCCGTAACCACATGAGTAGGTCCATCCGCCCTGTATAAGGGTTCGGGGTTTAGGGTCTGGCTAGCAGCCTTGCAGCTTTACAAGATGGGAACCGGAAATAAAAAGAACACAAGCACCCAAGCTCACCATTGCCGAGCTCACCAAGATGGATCATGAGACTGGTTCAACATCGTCATTGCAGCTGCTTGCCCAAGAAAATCTTCTCTACAGTCATGAAGAACACTCCTTCAATTCAGGCACACTTCCTGATAAGCCCTATAGGCCCTAAGCACAAGCCCCACGAAACCTATTTCAATCACACAATGACATTTTGCATCATTTGTTGTTTACAGATGATAGAAGCACAAACTGAAACTGCAAAGACGCGGCAATAGAAAGCAACTTGCTGCCTTCATGGCTATGCCGATTCCCTGCATCATCTCGCCGGCGTCTGCCCCAACCTGGTCCCAAAAAGCCACAGCGTACTCATAGGTCATAGGCTTCTTCCGGGTGAAGTTCACCAACGGAGGGATCCTATACAAGTTTAGGGTTCAGGGTTTCGGGTTTAGCAAGTCCGCACCATCCCCAAGCCTGCACATTCATGGTGTGGATTCGTGTGCATACACCCTACCCCCTTACAGCCTGAACCCTCAACGCCTTGTGACGCTTGTTCGTCATGAATCCTAAAACGGCGTATGGTCCAACGGTGCCCCAGCTTGAGGAGGCCTTTGTGTCTTTACTGTGCTTTAGGCTTAGAAGGTGTACGGTAACTTTAGGGTATAGGGTTTCCCTGATCAGTTTGCTCCCTCATTTTCGCGGGTAAGCGCCGGGCCATGTGACAGCCCACCACCTGCGAACGCGTTCTTCACGCCTACGAAAGCATATGCCACGAATTCACGAAGCCGATCGTTGTATGATGTGCTGTAAACCTCATCACCCACTCAGGCCGCTGAAAGGCGTGCACGTGAGGCTTGTGATGTCTTTTTCTCACCACTTCAGCGCATGCCACCAGCGGTTCTTGGTCCTGCCATCTTCACAGATTCCTCAGCTGGGCTCCTCTTTTCTTAAGTATTACATGACCCCCTAAAGAGGTGTAAATCTGGTTCATGGTGTACCTTCGTGTGGGCTTGTACTTGTGCAGAGGAAGTGATCGCCACCTAAAGGTTCCTCCCGTCCCCAAGGTTACTCCAATCCCGACTTCCGCGAAGCCAACGCTCCATGTGCCCAACTACATTACTACATCTTGCGATAGGTTGTTGGGAGATGGCTCCGCCGACCTGCGATTGTGATCTCCCAACTTACAGTACACATACGGCTGCATAGCTTCTACGTTCACCTACAGTCCCTACTCACAGACATTCGCACCATGCGCAACCCAAAAAACCCTTTACACCCTAAGCCCCAAGCCCGTCCAGGGTTCACCTGTTCCCCCCAAAACAAAAAGGCCAACCTTCCAAGTATCTGGGCCAGGCGCTCTGAGGAACCTGCCCAAGCTGGATCCCTAAACCCGACTGAGGATAGGGCTTAGGGCTCAGGGCTGGGTTTCGGGCTATTTTGGGGGTTTAGGATTAAGGTCCACGAATTAGTAGGCCGTGCTTTTGCAGGGTGGGGGCTCTGTTCTCGTAGGCTTTGCGCTTCGCACCGAGCTGCTGTTCAGCTGTGGAGTTCAGGATGATACGGAACCTGCCTTCCCGTCGAAGGCGAAGACAGTACCCACCTTGGAAGTCTGTTCCTTTTGAGTTTTTGGGGGTTGTTTCTTTGGGGAGGTGTTCGGGCATGACTGAAAGCACATACAGTACGCTTGCATTGATCTCGTTCTGATCGTGAGTGTGTGCGTTCTGCTCACGGCATGTCCTCTTCTCGGGGCGAAACAGGCAAAGCCCGTACGTGGCTCGCAGAAATGTTCCCTTCGGGCAAACAAGACCACTAGCCCTAAACCCCAAACCCTGAACCCAGCTTTCTCTGCTTCTTGCATGCGACAGCTTTGGAGGTGACCTTCGTGACCTTCGGCCGTGCCGCATGCTCTGGGCGAAGGGAGGACATGCTGAGATTGGCAGCTTTGGCCAGCGAGGGGACGGCCATCTCGCTCCAGGCGGCGATGCCCTGCCTTGATTCGGGTCAAGGGCTTCAAGGGCTTCAAGGGTTTAAGGTTTGGACTGCAACATGCGAAGTGTCACTATGGCAGCCATTCCGATCGCCCGATTGTGGAAGGCCAGCAAAATCCCGCCCGCCCTGGGTGTGCTTCGAAGGTGTTCGAGGTTTCCCAGTTCTAACCCAGAAACTCCACAACATAAGCACCCCCTGAGGATCAACCCCCAGCAGCCAAACTCCCTGTAGACAAATTGGCTCAGAAATGTCGAACCAACATCCCCCCCCTTCGCCTCACGCTGTACCGGAAAGCAACACCCTTCCTTACACCTGCGCTGAAACCGCTCAGCATGCCTAAACTCCCTAAACGTCCCTAAACCTTGGCGAGTCTCTTGGCAAAGCTGTCCAGGGCATTCACCAGCTGGCAAGACAGCCGCTGCAAATGCTCCGCACAGCGTATCCTGGAGGTTTTCTACACTGAGATCATCTGAGATCTATAGCCGACAGTGTTTCCATCCTCCCGGCACTCCGGTTGCATGTGCAGATCAGGAGTCGCGGCGTGGCTCAGGTGATGGCTCTTGCAGCGACTCCCAACTACAAAGCCCAGCCTTGGCTGCTTGCAGGACTGCAGAAGCTGCACAAAGGCCACTGAGCCGGCGTTGTACCACACCTCACCGAAAGCTCTCATACAACGAGCAGCACGTTCTCAGGTCTGTGGACTCCTCAACTAAACGGCCGCAGGATGATGTAGGCCCCTGTGAAACCTTTGCCTTGCAATCCAAAGCATGTAGTCTTGCGCTGAACCGATGCATCGTGAAACCGTACCAAGGTGCAAGCAGCATTGAGTCACAGCACTTCAAGGGACCCCAGTTGGGAAGAAACATTCACGTGTCCCTCTCGCTCGCTCTGCTCTTAACGTGCCCTCAAGAGTGCCGAATCATGTCGAGCCCGCACCTTGAGGTGGCCCAAAACAAAGTCGAGGTATCACTAGCTGCCAAATCTCATCCAGGCACTCGTTCTCAACTTTTTAGGGTTCAGAGGGTTTAGGCAAGACCACAACCAGCCTTCGCTTCCTAAGGTCAGCACCCAGCCCGGCTCAGCCACTCGAAGCGCGTGCGTGATCAGGTCAGAGGTGTCGGCCCTTGGATCTGGGCAGTTCTCTCAACTCTGGTCCCCTTTGGGTACAATCTGAGGCTCCACGTTGTCAGAACCTCAGAAGAGATCCTATAGTCCTACTAGTAATTTGGGGAACCGCTTACTTGGGGCAGGGGGCGAGTCATGACTTCAGGTTGCTCAATCGGCTTTCGCCTTCCGGCTTTGACATGCTGACTGCTCACTCTCCTCCTTTGCTCCCACTTTCATTCTCACGGCCAACTCGGGACCCCTGATAAACATCCGAGGTTCTCGTAGTCCTCCAGAAACTGCAAGAGGTCGCCAGAATATGCGGCATCATCCTCGATGACCCAAACGTGCTTTGGCTTGGATCCCGATAGGGCAGTACCTTTCACCAGGCGCTATGTGAGGCCCGGGGACGCAAGCCTAAAGCATCACCCACATAGCATCTTATCTTTGGGGGGGGTGGGGGGGGGAGGGGGGGGGGGGGGGGTGGGTGCGGCGGGGGTTGGGGGGGGGGGGGGAGGGGGGCGGAATGACCACAGGAACCGAACCCTCAGATGATCAATATATGTCCTACGACACCGCGCACCGATGCCTTGTTTCAGAGAAACGGCATGGTTTATGGACCAGGTTCTCGGGAGCTCCGTTCTGGGTTCGGCTGACAACACACCGCCTCTACGAAAGAGGGCAGGATAAGCCTGCGACATCTTTATGCCTGAACTATCTAAACCCTAAACCCTAAAGCCTATATAGATGATGACAACTTAGCCTCTGTCGGGGCACGCCACCAGAGGAGCAAAGACTCCACGTGGAAGGCCCAAGCAAGGCTCTTTGGCCCCGGCAGTTGAAAGCAGTCTCGCACCTCAACTTGTGCATGTTTCATCATCTGCGAATGGATATACGTATCTTTACAAAGATGGCGTGTAAAGCGTGTATGAATGTGATACATGTATGTGCATAGGGGTCCTTTACAGTGTGAAAGAACAAACTGCCAGTACCAGCACCTGTCGAGACACCTCTAACTCACCATGTCTTGGGGGAGCCACAGGCTTGCGTTTGTTGGGGAGTCTGGATCCCTCCGTAGAATCTGAATCTGAGGTTTCAAAAAACCACTGAAGGCTGCATACATACGCAAGCATGGAGTATGGAACCCCTACAGTGTGCTCCAGAAAGTTGGAACACGGTTTAAGGGTGGTTAGGGCTGGGATTCCCTTTAGAAAACCTTTGCGGTACGTTCCAACTTTTTGGAAGTTTACAAAAGATTACAGCTACGCAAGCAAGCTCCAAAGCTGTCTAGAGTGCGACGAAGCGGGCCAGCATTGGGATAATAGCACCACGGTCCAAACTGAATAAATCGAGCCTTCAGATTTAAAGGCAGCACTTTAGGGGTCGTGTCAGGGTTCGGGACTATTCTGATTTTTTGGATCGGGGCACGTCCTGACGATCAGGAAGGGCAGCCCGGACGTCTTTCAGGATGGGAAACCTGGAAGTTCTGACAGCTGACATGCTCAACACAACCTACGAATCTACGGGACACGCAGAAACATGTATCTGCAGGCGCGAGGGGCATGGATGTCAAGTCCGACTCCGTGTACGGCAGGACCTTAGCGAAGATTGGCCATGCTTGTCGGTGCCTTAGGCCGTCATGGAACGTGGCAGGCACGCCGTGGATCTACTTATACCTTGGTGGCTGCCCGGTGGCTTTCAAGTGACCTGCTTCGCCACGAGCTCTGGCCATACCTGCATCTTGTAAAGAACGGCACGTACTTCGCTCGAAACCAGGCCATCTGCTGGCTTCTGCGGGGAGCAGGTCACCATCAACATGCAGCCAACACACTCGAAACACGTCGGGCGATGGTGTCCATGCCTGCCAACATTGCGGTCAAGCATGAGAAGTTGACTTCCTGCAACCGTGCAACACAAGTCTGGTCAGTTGGGCGCCTGGGGCAGGGAAAGTTTCGTCTGCCAAGATCCAGGTCTGGATGGCTCTGCTGGCATCCGAGTCCTGGAGCCAAGCTCTAGCTCCAAGAGGAAAATCACCGTCTCACAGCTTCAGAGCCCTCATAGAAACCTGCGTCTGCCAGACAACCCCTAAATCTGGGTATAAAACTTATGCTACTTTCATTTTGCTGGAAGAAAACGAAATCCGACAAGAAAAGCCCTAGATACGACACAATCCCTGAAGTGGACCGTCACCCCTTTTCTTCGTGTTCAGCAGAGACCAGCTGTAGTGGTCGGAGTAGGCGCCTGTAGTCGGCTTGCCCAGGCAAGGTGACGCGCCAGCATTGCCTCGGAGGTACCCCCGTGAACGCGGATGACCACCGCGGTGCCTTGCACATCAGGGTCTTACCCATCGGGTCCATTAGTATTACTATTATGGAATTGGGTACCCAAAAACCATACTGAATAGGGTTTTGGGTTACCTAATTCCAGAATAGTACTACAAATGGACCCTCTGGGTTTTGTAGGGTTTCAACTCTCACGCTCGCACACGGCAGACAAGGGGTAGGCCTGGGAGGCTTAAGGCCCTAGGGTCGCTGGAGGGGTTAGGGATACACAACGCGGACCATGATCGACCTCTGCCCCCCCCCCCCTTGTGAATAACAAGGGCTCAGACATGCTTAAACCCCCTAAGTGGCCACGCTGTGACATTCCGGACCTACCTCGCAACCAAACACAGTTACGATCTTCGTCCAGGGGCGACTGCCCTACAGCAGAAAGCATTCACCAGCAAATTCCTAGCTCGCCGCCACAGACCCCAAAAGAAAGCCGATGGCTCTGCTGCGGGGACCAGCCATCTTGAAGAGTAAAACTCCAACAAGCGCGCGAACACATGAAGGGAGACACGGAAAGCCACTTCCCCAACTAAGACGCTGCTATGTATGCAAGCAAGGGGGGGGGAAACAACAAAAAGAGGGCACAGCCCTCCAAAGGGAACTGGAGACCCAGGCCGAACCGAAACAGTTGTTAACCCCTGTAAGGTTTCGGCCCTATACCTTACCTTGGGATGTTCCCTCTTTTTACTCACAGTCCTTAATATTAGTTCTAGTACCCCCTACTATAATCCCTGTCAAGGACTGCAGGCATAAGGGGGAACATCCCAGGTATACAATAAACCTAAGATCCTACGAAGGCCTGTGGCCGGCTGCAAGAGCTCCCGGCCGGGCTCCGGAAAGTGGGCCCTGTTCCATGAAAGTCATCTGGGTATCTTGGGGACCCAATGAACCCCTTTAAAAAAGAGTGTGTGGTCCAGATACCTTACCATGGATTATAGTAGTGCGATCTGACCCCCCAATTTTAAGGCTCCGTTGGCTGCCATAGGGTGCTTGACTTAATTTTGTTTCTGGAGTAGGACAAGCTTCCATAGGCTATCCTTTGAACTGTACTACGCTACTGTATGAGGGCCAGTACTCAAGTCCCGTAAAAGCCACTCAAGGCCTGCGACGCAGGTTTATGAGACAATGCCGAGACCCTAAACCCTAAACCCTAAACCCTAAAGCCTAAACCCTAAACCCAGCCATGCGGGAACGCTCGTCAAGATGCATCCGTACCCTCGAAGAGCCCTCCGCCCTCAGCCAAGGTGTTCTTTCCAGCAAAGCAAAGACAGCCCGTTGAGGGCTTCGGCTTTTCTGCGGCGCTCTCACTCGGGGGCTCTAGCAGCGCATCTGCAGGATATAGGGTTTTACTAGGGTTTGATTAGGGTTAGAACCCAAGTAACCCTAAACCCTAAACCCTTCTGAGCAACGGACTTTGGGGGCTGCCGGCAAACATGCCTAAACCCTAAACCCTAAACCCTAAACCCTAAACCCTAAACCCTAAACACTAAACCCTCAAAAGTCTGGAGATCCCGAAGCCAGCCTCCGGCCGGGCCTGGCGCTCGGCCACCGGGCGCGGCGTGGGGCCATGCTTCGCCATCGGTGGCCCAAGTGTACCAAGAGTTGATTTGGGTTTGGGGTTTAGGGTTTAGGGTTTAGGGTTTAGGGTTAGGATTTAGGGTTTATGGGGTCTGGGGTGTAGGGTTTTCCTTGGTTTTAGGAGGGTTGGGTTTTTGGGGTTGCTTCAGATCACCCTCTCTGCCTCTTAGAGCCCCTCCTTAAAAACATCCAAAGTGCCCCACAGGAACTCTCACAGAGACCAGCCCCCTCCAGGTTATCCAACTTAGGGCTCTGTATGGTTTAGGGTTGTTAGGGGGGGTTTTCCGGTCTTGGGGGCGTTCGGGTTCTTGGGGCGTCTAGGTGTTTTCAGGAGCCTTCACAGCCTGAAGCGGACGGAGGTTGAAGACGTTCGTGCAAAGAGCGACTGCTCGAACGGTGCCAGGGAAGGAACGAAGTGAAGGCTCAGGGAACTTAGTACCTATAGGTCATAGGCAGGGCTATATAAGTACCCTAAATTGGATCAGCCTACTTTATCAGAATCGATCTTCAGGTGCCCCAAAAAAATTTGTGCCAGCACCTTGCCGGCATGCTCGAACCCTTCGCTGACACAGATGAGCTTCATCATGATCCGCTCCTGGCCAAAAAGCTTGGCAACGTGTAGGACAGACGCCAGACTCTCATCGGTGCAGTGCGCAGGCAAGCGATGCCACTTTACCGCGAACGGGCGACGCACTGGATCACTTCTTTTCCTCGGCTCTGAAAAGATAATTCCTTTTGAAGTTCATGTGGTCCCCATAAGGAAGGGGACGCACCAAGAGCCAGCCTTTTGAATCCAGCAAGGCTTGACAAGGCCACTCCGAGGCTTCACGTTACCTCAGGCGAGGCGGATCGCTTGCACACGACGTACCCGTTGCATGTCTCCAGGTGTCCAGCACGAGCTGCTTGCCTCCCACACAGCTCTTGTCAGTCCTTCAGGTCCCCTCGGCCACATGCCTGTGTCTTGCCAGCAAGAAGTGGAGTCAATCATCCAGTCGCCTTTCGACTTTCGTCCACGACGCTTCGCCGGTGTAGATCCTGCTGCCATCCACACTGGTGCCGATCCCGAACATGCCCATGCTGCTCATCGGGCAGCCGCCACCGCCACCTCGGTTGCACGGGCGTATCCGGTGAAAATTCCCCCCTGACATGAAGCCACTATAGCAGCACCCCGGCACTGTCCGACACCTCCCAAGACCTCCCCACCGCTAAAACGCTTAAGCAACAAAAGAGTAGCCTAAAGCTGCTACACAAAGGCAGGAAAAACTCGACGCAAATCCAGCCCTCACCTGAACGGTTTGAGAACTTCGGCGCGCCCGGCGGACCAATCAGCTCCAGGACCTCAGCAATATATAGGGGCCTGAAGAATTAGAATAGGGTTTTGCAGGGTTACCATAGTATAATTACAAAGGGACCCTAAGGGAGTATTGTTGGTAATTGTTCCGCCCCCTATCGTAGTTTTGGTTCGGTTCACAAACGGCATCCAAGCGAGACTCCCGGTTTTCTCATGCAAGGGTATAGTTACAGTGGCCTCTCCCATGCCATGTCAGAGGCTTAGGGAGGACAACTCCGTTGACCCTCCCTACTATGCGGCTGCTCTTCCTCTGTCATCAGTGTTGTTTTTATTTCAGGCTTCAAGGGAATTCGAGTCTCCTGAACCCTAACCTACGCTGGGCCTGATTCCGACCTCATTCCCGAACGCCCTGCTAATTGTTGAGAACCAGTAAGCAAGCCCGCCTCTTCGGTGTAGAGATGCTCTGGGCGGAGTGGAAAGCCTTGCCTCGAGAAGAGAGAGACGCACTTCTACAGCACATGAGGCGTCTAGGATTTGGGGGGGGGGGGGGGGGGGGGGGGGGAGGGGGGGAGGGAGGATTAATTCGGACACCAAGCAGACTAGCCACAGCGTAGGGTGACTCCTCAGGACAAGAGAGGATTCGATATTAAGGGGGAGTCTTGGAGAGGTATGTCATTTGAGGTGGGCCCAGTTCCGGAAAGCGAGGTCTTGGGGTCAAGGGCCCTCTAGAGTTTCCTCCAGTCAAGTCGCTCGTCCAAGCATGGATTCTTCCTCTCACCCTTCTCTGCTGGATTGCCTGGGCCAACTGAGGAGGAAAAAAGGCATGCGGCAGCTGCGGCACCGAGCCCAACCCCTGCAAACGAGATCGCCCTCTGCTTCGCGTCATGCGCAATGCAGCAGCGTCACCATATGTGTTCATTCGTGGAGGCTCAGGGAGCTTGCTTGATGGTTTCGCACATGCAGCCAGCAGTAGCTTCTCAATCTCCGGATGCCTGGCCGCAAAGGCAGTCTGAGCAAGCACCAAACGACCCTTTTAACCCGAACACGTCCCCAAATCCCATAAATCCCAGACCATCCAGTCATGGCTGTCTCCCGCTGCCTTGGCTGCTTCTGCTTCTCCGGGTCCCTCTCATACGGCACGGCGTCCTGAGGGGTGCCCTCAACATCCCTCGTACACTGTACTGCACTGGAGCACCCAGGGTCAATCCCGAACCCTCTTGTCCGAACTACGTGTTGTGTTTCACAGGACATCAAGAAAGCGAGACGGACGGCTTCGCCTTTCGCGAGCCCAGAAGCCCATGACAGTTTCGAGGGTGGTGCGTGCGGGCACGTCCGCGTCCAGGCGAGAACACAATTTTCGGCCAAGGTGCTGGCAAGCTTCGCGAAACACCCACGCGGAGCGCCCGGGCGCGCCGCATCGCGCACGTGCTCGTGCGTGCTCCTTCTTCCCATGAGCGTCAAAACCCTTACAGCTAACACACTGTTTAGAGACTGGGCCATTTAACCAAGACTGCAGGCCAGGAGTGAAAGCAAGAGCGAGAGTTTGAGTAGTTCGCCCTTCGTCTTGTAGTGGTCGCCGTCGCCGTCGACGCTGTCGTCGCCGCCGCCGTCGTCACCGTCGTCGTCGTCGCCGTCGCCGTCGCCATCGCCGCCGTCGTCACCGTCGTCGTCGTCGTGGTCGCCGTCGCCATCGCCGTCGCCGTCGTCGCCGTCGTGGTCGTCGTTGCTGTCGTCGTCGCAGCAGCAGCAGCAGCAGCAGCAGCAGCAGCAGCAGCAGCAGCAGCAGCAGCAGCAGCAGCAGCAGCAGCAGCAGCAGCCACAGCAGCAGCAGCAGCAGCAGCAGCAGCAGCAGCAGCAGCAGCAGCAGCAGCAGCAGCAGCAGCAGCAGCAGCAGCAGCAGCAGCAGCAGGAGCAGGAGGAGGAGGAGGAGGAGGAGGAGGAGGAGGAGTAAAAGTATTATCAATAGTCGTAGTCGAAGTAGTATCAATCAGTGATGGTCATCTGGCAATGTTTCTCACCCCTGGACAGTTCCAGGCAAAGGCTCGCCCGTGCGAGCTATGTCGAGCGCGGTCCAGAAGCTGTATGGGCCACCTTGAAAAGTAAACGAACGCTGAAAGGGCTTATGGTCCTTGTACCCTTGTCGGCATTTTAGTGGTGCATCATCTTACTAGCTGAGTTGTCCACGGGAAAGAACGTCAACCCTTGTGTTTTACACAAAAGGCTACTCCACAGCTAGGTCAAGCACAGGGTCTGTGATCCCAACGTACGGCTCATTTGCCCCCAAGGTGCTGGCTGTGCAACAGCAGCAAACCACGTTGACGTCCGCTCGTACCTCCAGCAGAACCTCGAGAAGGGCGCTACCCAAGACTTTCGCAAGAAACAAGCTCCCAAACCCAAAACATGGGACACAGCCTCTCTGGGCCATTTAGGGTATGCGGTTCAAGCCATAAGGCCCCAAGCCCGGACACTCCCGAAAACCCCCTAACCTAGGGTCCTAAACCCCAAAACCCGAAACCCTAAACCCTAAACCCCAAGCCCTAAGCCCTAAGGTCCCAAGGTTTTGTCGAGCGACTCTGGCAGCCTCAAGGTGGCCTCCGGCCACAGCTGCCGTCAGCGGTGTCCAGTCGGTTCCATACATCCGGAAGGAGCCTCCCAACGTGGGGGGGGGGGACCGAATGAGGCTCTGAAACTGGGACTAGGGTTTAGGGTTTAGGGTTTTTGTTTAAGGTTTAGGGTTTAGGGTTTAGGCCCATATTCCGTATACATCCGTATGCAATGTCAGTGAAGGTCTTCATTTTGTCCCAGTTAAACAAAGACTCTTGGGTGGATGATCCTAGGGCCTTATGGCTTCGCAGGCAATGCCGAATATGTAGATTCGCCCTCAAGATACAGCTACTCAGGAACCAGACCAGCATAGACAGCATAGACCAACACATGTTCAGTCGCACAGCTCGCCTTTTGTTGGCACTTTGTCACCTCTTGCTTTCACTCGCAACGGTTCATGCTTGCGACATGGAAACTTCATTACAACTCTACACTTTTCCCCTGCTCTGGCGCCGTGCTTGTAAGAATCGGCCGATCCTTCATGCCTTCCTTCACTTCTCTGAACTCTTCAAGCTTCGGGGCTCTGTATACCGAACATCCTGGAGGCCTCCCGGCTAGCTCAGGGCCTGGATAGAAACGAAATTCGCTGACGAAGATGTTGACCTCACATCCTGGAGTGGGCTGCGGGCTTCTGTAGGGTTTAGGGTTTAGGGTTTAGGGTTTAGGGTTTAGGGTTGAGGGAATAAGTTTGTCTTCTTGTGCCACGCATGGCTTGCTCACGCAAAGCACAAGTTGGAAACAAGCGCAAGTCCCAAACACTCAACCGGCATGCGATTTGGGGACCGGAAACTCCACACAACCTTTTTGAGCCCGAAACCCGAAGGGGGGCCCGAATTCAGGGACACTGGTATGTGGGATCCATTTTCGAACTCAACCTCGGAGCATCAGCTCCATCTAACCACATAATCCAGGGCTTCAAAGTCCTTGCCTGGTACCCTAAACCCGTAAACCCTAAACCCCAACCCCTAAACCCTAAACCCCGAACCCTAAACCCTAAACCCTAAACCTTGAACCCTAAAACTGCGGAGGGGGCCTTGGCGCAGCTGAGCATCCAAGGCCTCGCTGTCGCCCTTCTCCTCGGGCGGATGGGAAAGGTTTTCAGAGCCCGAGGGTCGAGGGCTTCTTGGGGGTTTAAGGGTTTTTAGGAGTTTCAGGGCTTTAAGGACTTCAAGGGTTTTTGGGGTTTTAAGGGTCATGTAGGGTTGTCCAGCGTTTGAGGAGGGTTTAAGGTTTAAGGGTTTAGGGGTTTGTTTAGCTTTACGGTTTTCGGGCTCCAAACTCGGGCCACCCCCTTTTGGATGTAGAGCAGCCTCCACGTGGCGATTTTTCAAAGCACTGGGACTTAACAGTCAAGCTGTTTTTTGACCCCTGCTGCTCTTGCAGGGATGGGCAATAGCGGTGCTCAAGAACGCCCGAGGCACGGCCAGTGGCATCAGCGAAGCATCCAGACGGCGGGGCTCTTCGGAAGGAGATCCTCGATCAAGGGGGCTACAGGAGTGACCCTTATAATTCACGAGCTTAGGGGTAATCTATAGGGGCTACTTAGGGTTTAAGGGGCTTTCTAAGGCATACCTAGGGGGTTATATAGGGCTCGATTGAACTCACTTTCTGCTTGGGGCCTTGATCTCCACACCGGGGTTGTAGAGATAAGCTTTAGGCAGTTTTGGGAGGTTTTGAGGGTTTAGGGTTTAGGGTCTACCTTTTGCAGCGCCTAGTGTACCAACCTCTACACCAAAACCCCAAGATCTTGAAACCCTGATTCTTAAACGTCCGGCACCCTAAGCCAATGAGCTGAGGGTGAAACCGTAGAATCCTAACACCCTAAAACCCTAAATCCTAGAATCCTAACCCCTAAAAATCCTGAACCCTAAAATCCTGAACCCTAAAATCCTTAACCCTAAAACCCTAAATCCTAGAATCCTAACCCTAAAAATCCTGAACCCTAAAATCCTGAACCCCTTGAATCCCCTTGACCTAAGGGAGCCCTGGAACCCAACACTCGAACACCGTCCCACCCAACATCGCTAGAACCTTGTGGGCTCTAACCCTAAACCCTCAACCCCAATTAATCCCTAACCCTAAGCCCGAATCCCTTGTTGCACAGGCTTGTCCCAGCGCGCCTAAACCCTAAACCCTAAACCCTAAACCCTAAACCCTAAACCCTAAACCCTAAACCCTAAACCCTAAACCGCCTGCATCTTCGCCGGCCACCTCTGGGGGGCCTTCGCAGGGCGCCACTTCGCAGGGCGCCACTTCCCAGATCTGGAACTGCGGCGCCAGTCTGGGATGCGCTGCTGGGGTTTAGGGCCCTAAACCCTAAACCCTAAACCCTAAACCCTAAACCCTAAACCCTAAACCCTTTAGAGGGTTTCTAGGGTTTTATGATTACGGTTTATCAGTAGGGTTTACTCGGCGCTGTCTCTGAGTCTGAGCAACTGAGCGCGACTGCACTGTGAACCAGCACATATAAGTAGGGTTTAGGGTTTCGGGTTTCTAGGGATTTATAGGGTTTATTATGTATTAGGGTATAGGCTTTATAGGGGTTATAGGGTTGATGATTAGGGTATAGGGTTTTCGGGTTTCTAGTGTATAAGGTTTATGATAAGGGTTTAAGTTTACAGGGCCTATACGGTTTGTAGGGTTTTTAGGGTTTAGAGTGTTTAGGGCCTATAGGGTTCAGGGCTTACCCGGTTTAGGGTTTACAGGGTTTAGGGTGGTTTTTGCTTTCGGGTTAGGGTTCTCCTTGTTAAGGATTGAGTTCACCACCCGCTGGGTTTAGGGTTTACGGCGTAGGTGTGCTTTGCCCATAGGATCCAGTCCTTGTGCTGGATGGGGAGCCTAAAGAGAGAATAAGGGTACTAAAGGGCATCCTAGACGATGTTTGAGGAATTAACTCCCTGCAGGTTTCCCTGTTAAATGACTCAATACAGGTGATCGAGGGTGCTACAGGCCTGAAGACTTTACCAATACTACTGCCCAAGCCTTCCCTATTGCCCCATTCCCGACAACTCCGACAGTGAGTAATTCGTGTGAATTTCAGTGCGTGGCTTTGGCCCCTGCACAATAGTAGAAGCTCCAGCATTCGACTTACGATGCAATATCCGATTGCTTAGCAAATTAAAACTACCTGTTTCGCGGTGCCCAAGAGTCCGTGCTGGGCCACCAGGTGGGCTGCTGGGTGCGCCGCTGCGGTCTTGAGCTTCCACCTGCGCCGGCTTGCTGCCGGCATGGCCGTCCTCGTCCAGCTCCCAAGGCAGCTTCGGGCCGTCGTCGGTGATGACGAACATGGGCCCAGTGGGCTTATGAAGTTCTACGTGTACTGTGAGCCTATGTCCAGCTTATACAACCCCATCCCCTACCTCCTATTATGGACACTCCAAGTGTTTTCAGGTTTCGGCGGAATATTGGAAATTATCCTCGACGAGGGGTTAGATGTGTTTAGAAAGAGGTCTCAAACCACGGCCGAAACGCCTGCTTGCTGTGAGAGAAGCAGTGCACACTCGCTCGTTTGCGAAAAACCCACAAGCAGGGCCTCAAGCAGCTCCACCACAAGCCGGAGGATAAAAAACCAAAACAAAACCGGAACCAGGAGTTGTCACAAGTGCGGGAGCATGAGACAATTTAAACAACTCCTGCCCGGACCAGCAACGGCCAGAAATCCTGAACCCCGAAAGCCCTTAACACACCCAAGAGCCGCTTCCAGATGAGGTACCTGATATCTCCCTCTAAAAAGCCCTTTGAAGGACCATACAGGGTTGCCTATTCCCTGATTCAGAAGCAGCGCGCAATGCTTCAGCAAGCTTCGGCAAGCCTACACCCAGTCGTGGTTTTGGGTCCTCCTCCCCTCGGCCGGTTGGCATGGTGTGCTTCATCGGCTTGAACCTAGGACTGCAAAACCCACTGAGAATCTAAACCGACACAGGCTCCTCTTCAACCCAAGAAGGGACGTCAACATGTCCCAAAGGCCTGCCTAGAAACCTGAGTACATTGCGCAAGGGAAATGGCAAAGGTTGCTTTTGACATCTGCTTAGATTCCTGAGGGCTGCGTATGAGACAAGCGAGCACATGAGGCTCTTGGGGCAAACCGCGATCAACACCAAAGTCAATGGCTTGGAAACAGCGTGAGACGGTCGACGCAGCGCCGAATTCCGCATGCGACAACATGTTGCGGAGTTCGAACTCAACGTAACCTTTTTTGAGCTATTCGGCCGGAAATTTTTTTTCTCCGTGTTCTGCCCGAGCAAGTTGGCATGTATTTCTGAATGCAGTGGAGCCTGCCTGTCCGACAGCACCCAGCAATCGATGATAGGGGTTTTGAGTGCCGTTGCAGCGGACAAGCCTTGCGACATGGGTGAAATATGGTGAAATTCTTGTTCTGCCTGAGTATGCCGGCTAAACAGAGCCCGAAACCACAAGGCCCCCCCGCTTTGTCACGAACACGTCGACGCTGCCATACTTTGTGGCTGCAGCCGCCTGCAAGCTTCGTCTGGTCTCGGGCTTATAAATGAAGCCTACAGGGTGTATGGTCCATATACCTTGGTAGGGGAATGGGTATATGATCCCATTTCTAGGCTTGGCTTGGTCTCCAAGGAAGGGAAATCGAGCATGTCAGGCAAGGACGCTACACCCTAAACCCGTTTAGGGCTTCAAGCCCACCCGGACCCCAAACCCCAATCCAGGCCAGAGAGAAGAGTGCATCGACACTTACATTACAGGCCGAAAAAACCTGCAGACAACAGCAGCGGGCTCAACCCTATATTGTAGGCCCCCCAAGCATCAAGACAAAAATCTAGCCTGGGTGAGCGCTTGCAACCTGAAAAGGCGACCGCAAACCCTGTACTGCTCGAATCCCCTCCAAAAAACATGGCTGAACCCCAAACCCTAAAACCCTTAACCCTGCACCCCGCATAAACCCTAAACCCTACTAACCCTCAACCCTAAACCCTAAGCCCTACCCAAACTTTTTTGGATCCCAAGGACCTGGCCTCCGTGAGCCCACAGGTGCCGCAAGGCGGCTGGCTGAACACCGCGCCTGGGAGGTCGTGGAGCGCCACCAGAGTCGTAGCAGAGGGTGATTTTGGTTGCTTTTTGGCTGCCCACCCAGGGTTCTCGGTTCTAACGGACGCTTTAGCGTTTAGGAGGGTTAGGGGCTAGGGTTCAGAGTTCAGGAAGGGCTCGGGGTTAGGGTTCGCAAATCCTTCGCCGCCTGCATAGCTGGACGAACCAATCAGCAGGGACACAGAAAGAGTCTTCACTTTCAGGGTCTATAGGGCCTGGGGTAAGTCTTTGGGGTTCTCAACCATGGTTTGCTGGGTAGTGTGTAGATTAGGTGTCCTAAGGGGAAGCCAATTCAGTCGAATGCCCATCTTGTCAGAAGCTTGTCTAGCCCGTGCGGATCGTGGGGGGTGGGAACTGTGGAGCCACCCCGCACTCCAAGCAGAAACAGGAAGCTTAAACCCCCAAACAACTACATGCCTAAACCCTAAACCCTAAACCCTAAACCCTAAACCCTAAACCCTAAACCCTAAACCCCCAGACCCACGGTCAATTCAAAACATGCTGATGATGAGGTCGGTGCTCGGCACATTCTCGTAGTCAGGGGTCGCTTCGCCCTGCAGACCAGAGACAACCCAACCTTGGGGACCAAATGAACCCTTTTGGGGTTTAGGGTTTAGGGTTTAGGGTTAAGGGTTTAGGGTTTAGGGTTTTAGGGTTTACTTAGGGTTTAGGGTTCGCATAGTAGCCAAAGGTATATGGGGACCAAATGAACCTCTTTTTTTGGGCCACCCGCTTAGCTGACCTCTCGGACACTCTGCAGGGAATTTGGCTATATCAGACTGACTGGGTTCAATGAACCCTTTTAGGGTTTAGGGTGTTAGGGTTTGCTTTGGGTTTAGGGTTCGCATACCTCACTGGGGTGTATAGTAGCCAAAGGTATATGATCCCAACGATAGGGCCCATGTGGTCCCAAAAAACCCCATTACCAGGTAATTCCCGCGTCCTTGCAGATTTCATGACCCCCCCCCCCAAAGGCACATGATCCACAATCATACCTTCAAGACCCTGAAAAGTTGAAGAGGCACCTTTGGTGGTATGTGTTTAGGGCAGGCGACGTATCTTCACTTTACGATTCTTGCATCTGGTCCGAAAAAAGCCCAAAACCCTCGCACCCCCCCACCTCCCCAAACATGGTCTTGGCCATGGCCATGCCCTCCATGAGGGCTACGGGGGTTAGCTGGATCCGATCCGTGACATCCTCGGAGATTCAAGGCAAGACGCTGTCTCAGAGCCCCTCTGTGAGGGGCGTGATCTGGGGCCCGGCTAACAGGTAGGGCTTCATCCAAAGATTGCAGCACTAGCTGGAGGCCCGGACGCCGATGGCGAAGATGCTGTCGACGTTGGTGCGGCTGTACTCGTCCACGAAGATCTGCATCAGCTATTCAATGAAAAGGACACCGGTCTTGCAGGCACCGTCCTTTCCCTTGGAGCCTTGCCACTCTTGGGATCTGTCTTCACACCGAGCTCCTCCAAGCCAAGGTCCTGGACGCATCGAGGGAGATTGCTGCAGAAATCGAGCTGGTTATGCGCCAGTGTCGTTTTCGCCACTGCCACTGCCGTCTCAGCCTTTCATGAATGACCAGCAAACTGCAACCTCCACGTTTGCATGTTTGCAGGACGCTTTGCTCTAGGCCCACCAAACCGCCAAGAAGCGAACCCTCTCCGACCTTATCCCAACACCAAACCAAAAACCACCGCAAAAAAGCTAACCCTCTCCCTAAACCCCCAAGCAAACCCCGAGCTTGCTCGCCTTGCTGCTGGGTTTTCGGCCGGTGGCGAACATGACCTCGGCCGCGAGGAGCCGCTTGCTCTTCAGCTCAAGGGCTTGGGGGCTGACATGGGGGCAATTTTTTTGGGGGTCCCCTAAACCCTAAACCCTAAACCCTAAACCCTAAACCCTATACCTCAAGAGGGAGTAGAGTACCATAGAAACTATACTCCAGGGTAGATGATGGTGATCTTAGGACCAGGAAAGCCCAGAAAAAACGTTGAAGCATGCACATAGGGCATGATGTGATCTCAATTCTGGGCTTCATTTAAGGGTCCATGTGGGCCTGTTCTACATCATGCACCTGCAAAATACTGCTATCCAAATACAGTCTTGTGCAGGAACCAAGGTTTCGGGAACCCCCAGTCTGCAAGGAAGTGCAAACTTCACCTGAGAAGAGCACAGTAAGTGCCAATCTCCCGAACCGGTCTTTTTTCGAACTGGCGCGCACGGGACCCAAAGCCAGTTCGCCGCTCCTGGCAGAGGGTTTCAGCGGTTTCGGGTATCGGTATAAGGTTTTGTGGGCTCGGCTTCCTCCGACTCTCTTTTGGGGGTCTAAGGTTCAAGGTGTAGGAGGCTTCCTTTGGTCCCAAAAAAGGATCGACCATCTCTTAGATAGCTGAGGGCCCTTCTCCTGCATCTTCCAAACTCGTCCCAAAAAACAAAGGGTCGATTACGTGGCTGCCTTGATGGCTTCCGGCAACACCACGCGGTAGCGCTCTGCTTTGGCAACAACGTGTGTTAAGCGCAGGTTCTCGCCTGCAGCGATCCGGATGGGAAGGTCGGAAACGGGGCAATTTGGTTGGGCCTAAACTCTAGAGTCCCTAAACCCTAAACCCTAAACCCTAAACCCTCTAAAGCCCTATTTGGGAGTCAAGCCTTCAAACTTCGCACTTGTCCGGACCATGCCACTGAACTGATCGTTGACATGCGATTTGAGGTTGGAACAGTCAAGAATCAAGGTCATCAACAGTCGCAGCTGGGGCTTCTGTGGAGCTGCAGCAGGGTCAAGGGCTCTACGTAGAGCACGCCGAGATTTTGCTGTAAACAACTGCGATGAACTGACAGATCGGCTCAGGGCTTACAAAGCTGCATCTGAGCGACACTTATCAAGGCCCAGGTCGGTAGCAAACCTGAGAGATAGGATTCTCAGAGCTCGCATCAGCTTGTGACTACTTCGAGGGCCACGGCTACGAGCCTCCAACACGAGACTTGCTTCCACCCGCAGATGGTTGCATTGGAGGGGGGGTCACCATTGAACAGGCCCCGGGATTCGATCCTCAGCGACGGTGCTACTCCTTGAGAAGCAAGCTGGGTTAAGGGCTTAGGGTGCTTACGCAGGGATGCCTTGCTTCAGTTGCCAAATAGCCCGAAACTCCCCCCAAGCCGATCCAAGATCGTGATGAAAACTTATACGAAGTGGCTGAAGGGACACGGCCGGTGCTTCCGATAGCCCGAAGCCCAGGAGCAACTCTGAGGCTGTGTCCACCTTGGCAGGTTAGGGTTTAGGGTCTAGGTCTCGGTAGGCAGCAACGGGCACTGGGCGATCTCACACTACCTAAAGTCGAGCTCGACTGCAGCCACTCATGCACCCAAGGCCGGAAGCAGGTCACCGCATGTCTACAGCGGGAAGCTCCAAGCTAAGCTTGCGCACCGGCTCTCCATTCCTACGCCGGTCCCAAGCACTGCAGAGCACCCTTCGGAGCTGCCATCTGCATATCCGCGAAGAGTTGAACCACGAGCTCGGGCTTTCACGCAGCATCATGAGCATCACCTGGTGCTGGCCCGGGCTTTCAGGCCCAAACCCCCGAGCATCATGAGCATGAGCTGGCGCTGGCCCAGGCTTTCCAAACCCCCGAGCATCATGAGCATCAGCTGGCGCTGGCCCGGCGTCAGGCCAAAACCCTCGAGCATCATGAGCATCACCTGGCGCTGGCCCGGGCTTTCAGGCCCAAACCCCCGAGCATCATGAGCATCAGCTGGCGCTGGGCCGGGCTTTCAGTCCCCAAGCCCCCGAGCATCATGAGCATCAGCTGGCGCTGGCCCAGGCTTTCCAGGCCCAAACCCCCGAGCATCATGAGCATCAGCTCCCGGCTTCAGGCCAAAACCCTCGAGCATCATGAGCATCACCTGGCGCTGGCCCGGGCTTTCAGGCCCAAACCCCCGAGCATCATGAGCATCAGCTGGCGCTGGGCCGGGCTTTCAGTCCCCAAGCCCCCGAGCATCATGAGCATCAGCTGGCGCTGGCCCAGGCTTTCCAGGCCCAAACCCCCGAGCATCATGAGCATCAGCTGGCGGCTGGCCCGGCGCTTCAGGCCAAAAGCATCATGAGCATCAGCTGGCGCTGGGCCGGGCTTTCAGTCCCCAAGCCCCCGAGCATCATGAGCATCAGCTGGCGCTGGCCCAGGCTTTCCAGGCCCAAACCCCCGAGCATCATGAGCATCAGCTGGCGCTGGCCCGGCTTCAGGCCAAAACCCTCGAGCATCATGAGCATCACCTGGCGCTGGCCCGGGCTTTCAGGCCCAAACCCCCGAGCATCATGAGCATCAGTTGGCGCTGGGCCGGGCTTTCAGTCCCCAAGCCCCCGAGCATCATGAGCATCAGCTGGCGCTGGCCCGGCTTCAGGCCCAAACCCCCGAGCATCAGGAGCGTTACCTTGCGCTGGCCCGGGCTTTCAGGCCCAAGCCCTCGAGCATCAGGAGCATTACCTTGTGCTGGCCCGGGCTTTCAGGCCCAAACCCCCGAGCATCATGAGCACTTTCAAGCCCAAACCCCCAAGCATCATGAGCATCAGCTGGCGCTGGCCCGGCTTCAGGCCCAAACCCCCGAGCATCATGAGCATCAGCTGGGCTTTCAGACCCAAACCCCGAGCATCATGAGCATCAGCTGGTGCTGGCCCGGGCTTTCAGGCCCGAACCCCCGAGCATCATGAGCATGAGCTGGCGCTGGCCCGGGCTTTCCAGGCCCAAACCCCCGAGCATCATGAGCATCAGCTGGCGCTGGGCCGGGCTTTCAGTCCCCAAGCCCCCGAGCATCATGAGCATCAGCTGGCGCTGGCCCGGCTTCAGGCCCAACCCCCGAGCATCAGGAGCGTTACCTTGCGCTGGCCCGGGCTTTCAGGCCCAAGCCCTCGAGCATCAGGAGCATTACCTTGCGCTGGCCCGGGCTTTCAGGCCCAAACCCCCGAGCATCATGAGCATCAGCTGGCGCTGGCCCGGCTTCAGGCCAAAACCCTCGAGCATCATGAGCATCACCTGGCGCTGGCCCGGGCTTTCAGGCCCAAACCCCCGAGCAACATGAGCATCAGGGCTTTCAGGCCCAAACCCCCGAGCATCATGAGCATCAGCTGGGCTTTCAGACCCAAACCCCGAGCATCATGAGCATCAGCTGGCGCTGGCCCGGCTTCAGGCCCAAACCCCCGAGCATCATGAGCATCACCTGGCGCTGGCCCGGGCTTTCAGGCCCAAACCCCCGAGCAACATGAGCATCAGCTTGCGCTGGCCCAGGCTTTCCAGGCCCAAACCCCCGAGCATCATGAGCATCAGCTGGCGCTGGCCCGGCTTCAGGCCAAAACCCTCGAGCATCATGAGCATCACCTGGCGCTGGCCTGGGCTTTCAGGCCCAAACCCCCGAGCATCAGGAGCGTTACCTTGCGCTGGCCCGGGCTTTCAGGCCCAAGCCCTCGAGCATCAGGAGCATTACCTTGCGCTGGCCCGGGCTTTCAGGCCCAAACCCCCGAGCATCATGAGCATCAGCTGGCGCTGGCCCGGCTTCAGGCCAAAACCCTCGAGCATCATGAGCATCACCTGGCGCTGGCCCGGGCTTTCAGGCCCAAACCCCCGAGCAACATGAGCATCAGCTGGCGCTGACCCGGGCTTTCCAGGCCCAAACCCCCGAGCATCATGAGCATCAGCTGGGCTTTCAGACCCAAACCCCGAGCATCATGAGCATCAGCTGGCGCTGGCCCGGCTTCAGGCCCAAACCCCCGAGCATCATGAGCATCACCTGGCGCTGGCCCGGGCTTTCAGGCCCAAACCCCCGAGCAACATGAGCATCAGCTTGCGCTGGCCCCGCCTTTTAGGCCGAAACCCCCGAGCATCATGAGCATCACCTGACGCTGGCCCGGGCTTTCAGGCCCAAACCCCCGAGCATCATGAGCATCAGCTGGCGCTGGCACGGGCTTGCAGGCCCAAAACAGCTGGCGCTGGCCCAAGCCCCCGAGCATCATGAGCATCAGCTGGCGCTGGCAGCTAGAACTGGCCTGGGCTTTCAGGTAGCCGCGCTGCGGCAAGCCGTAGTAGCAGGAGCCAACTGAGATGTTTCATCTGGCTTGTGGCCAGTAGCGCAGTGAGTTTGGGGTTTTGGGGTTTGGGGTTTGGGGTACAGTCGGACTTGCGTCTTTCGATCGATGAAGCAGGGCATTGCCTACCTTGCGGCCGACACAAATAATCTACGCATCGTGGCTCAGGTTAAGAATGATCCCGTTGGGGTTTGGGGAATCTCTTACAAGCGGGCCATAGTAAGGCGCTCTAAACCCTGGACGTCAAGTCCAAAACCTTAAACCCTAAACCCCTAAGACTCAAGACGCCGCAAAGCTACTTTTTTTCAGCACACACCTTTCAAAAGCTGCAGCCGAAAGCCCCGCAGAAAGGATCAAAGTCTTCAGCTGCTGGGCAACGAAGCAGCCGGCTGCGATACTGAAATCAGGACTTCCGGAAGCTCTGACGTGGATCGCAGGCATGCGCAGGCTGCTTGGCAGCGCGACGCCCGACGCACTTCCTTCAAACTCCGATCGGCTCCTCTTGGGGACCAAATGAACCCTAAAAACGGGGGTCGTCTACCCTGTGTGCAAAACGTAATCCTTATGAAGGTATATGGACCATAAACCCTGTAAGCTTTCCAGGGCAGGGCCCCTAAGACTCAAAACGCCGCAAAGCTACTTTTTCAGCACACGCGTTTCAAAAGCTGCAGCCGAAACCCCCGCTGAAATTTCAATGTCTTCGACACTGAAATCAAGGACTTCCGGAAGCTCTGAAATGGATCGCAGGCATGCGCAGGCTGCTTGGCAGCGCGATGCCCGACGCACTTCCTTCAAACTCCGATCGGCTCCTCTTGGGGACCAGATGAACCTAAAAATGGGGGTCGTCTACCTGTATGCTATACGTAATCCCTATGAAGGGTTTTGGACCATTATGAACCCTTTAAGTTTTCTAGAGCCCATTTGGTTCCCCAGGCTATCAGGTAGTTCTGTGCTTCGCGACTTCGGCTACAGAAATGATAGATTCACCAATGGTCAATGTCTGGAGGCTGCTTGGCAGCGAGACATCTTGGAGGCTATGGCTATACCGCCCACGAAGCTTCAATGTCTGGAGGCTGCTTGGCAGCTCGACGCCTTGCAGGCTCTGGTTGAAATTCGCACCTAAGGTCAGCGTGTGCAGGCTGCTTGGCAGCGCAACAGCTTCTAAACTCTGATTGAAACACCAGCCGAAAGTCAACGCCTGTAGGCTGCTTGGGAACTTGAATTCATCCAAGCTTTGATTGAAATCCCCACAGAACGTCAACATGCGCAAACTGCCCGGCAAGGTGACGCCATTTAAAGGCTGGTTGAAATCACTGCCAAAGGTTAATGTCTCAACACTCCCAGGCAAAGTCATACCTTGCAAGCTCTGGTTGAACTTCCAGCCAAATGTCCTCACAGTTGCTGTTGGAGGGTTAGGAGTCGTTTTTGTGTCATGATGTTTCTTCAACATTTCGATCTGCATCAGCTCAATGCAAGTTATGCGCGGTGTCTACTGACGACGATGCCTCTTGCCGAGGTCCGATTTTTGGAGTTAACCGTGCTTTTTGTTTAGTGCTTCTCTTTCTTCATGATCATCATCTTCCATAACTCTGCAGTTTCCTCTTTGCGGTACCCGACCCATGTTGGGCAGAGATCCAGCAGCACACTCACTAAGGTTGCACCTTTGCCTACCGAGGCCTTTTATTGTCCGAGTGAAAAAGAGCTTCAGTTGTTTGTTGCGCCACGCCTGCATCAGCAGGTTAAGAGCCTTGGTCCCTAGGGGCCGGGAGGGCGTAGATCGTCGTCGCATGCCATGGATAGGGATATAGAAGAGGGGCCAACTCCTCTCTCGGCTGTGAGACAGGTTTCGCTGCCTTTGGTGTTAGCTGGTGCTCCTGTTACATATGGGCCCTCCGGCGATACCGAAGCAAGTGAAGCTGCTCCTAGGCCTTGCCCTTTCTGGAGTGAGCGTGCGTTGGCGGAGCATCAGTTGCAACTTTCACGTCCTGCTGATTTAGACCGGCAAGCTGACGGACAGGCCACGGAGCGTGATGCAGTGGCTGGGTTAGCTTTAGCCCCGGGTCAGCAAGGGACGGCTTGTTTGCAAATGACGGCGATTGGAATCCAGTACGAGATGGAACCAGGTGAGCTTGGACAATCTGAGCCCGTAAGCCCTCAGGGTGCGAGAAGGCTTCCCTTAGAGGATGGGC